GATTGGCCTGTCCGTGCTCTGTCTTGTGCCCTGTCCTGTTTGGGGTCCGCCTGGGCTCCTTGCCACTGGTTCTTGTTGCTGGGTCGTATGGGGGTTGCGTTCATTGAATGCCGCCTTTCCTTGATGATCTTGTTTATCATATTTTATGAGCAGCAGTAGTCAGTAGCGTAAATTGCGAAATAAAAAGCACATTTAAAAACTAGAAATTCGCATTTTCGGAAAGTTTTTCCATCAAACTGCGGAAACTCATTCACTTTCATATGAGGTGGTTAATTTAACAAAGGCAATGAGTCAGCGAAAAAGTCATTAGGTTACAACTGGCGCAAGCGATTCAAAAACGGCAAATACATGGTCACAGACAGAAAGGGACGATGGGGAAACGTCAATTGCAAAAGTTCTACAGGAGGATGTACAGTATGAAAGGTTTGCGAGCTGTCCACCATGTTTAATTTCTGCATCGGGTCTGCACATTAAATTCTGTCCAGACAATTAAATTTAAAGAATATTTTATTTTATTCATCAGGATATATGCGTATTTACAATAAATAAATGTAGTTACTATTTGTATTACATGTATTTTCCCTGATTTGTTTGATAATAAATGCTAACTGGTGATTTACCGCAAATAATAATTGTCAGTTGATAAAATATTTTTCTGTTCTGTTGAGAATCATACTGTTTATGGTTCAAACGATTGTTGTTTTAAATCAATATTATAAACCACCAATTGATGAATGAATCAACTTGATAACACTGTCCGCTAAGTGTCGAGATTACTAACAAATCGCAATAAAGAGCGCAAACTGGTCAACTCTCGAGGCCCTTATACGAAAAATGGAAAAAAAGGTGACCGTTTTCTTTCTCGCTTCTCATAACATACAGAAAAATGGTTATGGTTATATGATCCGGAGACATTGAACACTCAAAAATGTCCTTTCAGACACAATGGCACAGGTGACATCTTTAATTTAAATTTCGACGTCGCGAACGTCATTTTGTTTTATCATTTGCGTGCGCCGGCGCGTACCCCTTGTTATTTGTAATTTTCACAGAATTTTTATTTGTAACATATTGTGTTGATTTTTTCACTGTATGTTAAGGACTTGTTCCATTATTTGTTTCTCGTAAAATCGTGTACGCAAATTAAAAAATGTGACCAACAGGGCCGCAGTCCATGAACTTTTTGAACAGCCCACGTATATATTTTATGAATTGCCTATATCTATTTTCCAAAAGCAACATAACTAAGTTGCATTCGTTGAACGCCTTTCCTTGTTGATATTGTCTTTCATATTTTGGTAAATTTGAGTTTTTCTTAAAATGTATGTACACTCAAAAACTTACTAAGAAATTCTGACATAAGTACCTTATTGACGGATTGTGTGCAGAATGTTTTATGTGCCAATAATTATCATATTGTATTGTATTATAAGGTAATTAAGACATTCTAAAATTTCCCATTTTAGTATGTTTACATAGTGACAGATAACTGACCCATCTGTTCTTCTATTCTTTTATTAGAAAATCTTTAGTAAGCTTCATACTCAATCTTAAATTTTTACTGTTAATAATTTGGCTATACAGTTTGATGTGACTCTTTTCACTGCCAATGATTGACCATGGGGGAAGTGGCAGAATCTCCTAATAATTTGTCACTTTCGATTCGTATTTGGACCTCTTCTTCAGAGAAAATATGACATGCCTTGGCCCAATTTATTCTATGCAATCTGGCAATTGTAGTGATACCTGTGGCTTTGAAGTACTCCACACATCCTGGATAGCGAAGTGCTCGTCGCCAGAATTTGCATATTTAATTTCTTTGGAGAGGCATGATCTTGCATTATGACCGTCCGCGCAACGTCCGCATAAATTAAGTCTTTTGTTTGCAGGATTTTGACACATGTCCGAAACATGAAAAACACCGTGTAGGAGGATGTACATAGGTTTCCGTTTTAAAAACATTATTTGTGTCCTCGAACTGTATAGCTACATTTATGGGGATGGTCCCCGCAAAGGTCAATTTCACTGCCATTGACAACTGCTTGTATTTGTTGTTAAATTGATCTACCCTTAATACGGAGGCCCCACCTGATCTGTCAAATTTCAGATTTTCTTGAAAATCGGACAGATCTCCCAGTGGTACACGCGAACAGTTTTACACTTGGGTGAGATGAGACCTTAATTCGAATCCCGGCTATATTTGAATAACCGAGATCTAATGCCTTAATGTAAGCTTCGCGGGAAGCAAACTCCAGCATTAGTTGACCTGAAGCGAGTGGTGTAGCCTTTTTCAAATTGTTGATATGTTTTTAATGTGTTGGGTCAAGACTCTAAGATGTAGTGTAGATAGTTTACCATCTTAGCCCTTGAGGACCCATACGTTCCTCGACATTGATTTGCATACCCTATGGGCCTCTCGCTGACCTAGTATATGATAATATAATTCAAATTATGGTAACACTTGTATTAAATAATTCTGATTTTATGCTGTTCTTATTAGAGTTGCAAATTAAACAAACCAAATACACACTTTACGATAAATATGACCGTCTATTTGAAATGTTTTAGAGAGACGTGGATAGCAGGCAAAATAATAAATATGAAGGTACTTAAAACTTAAATGGTTGTTAAACAAAGGCCAAAAATTAGGAGAACTGAAAGGAGAGCACTCCAATAAATGTGAAGTGGATGGGGTATTGTTCTAGAAGCTGACACTGAGACTTGCGTTGTTTGTTTAGTAACATCTAGATGGTTGTTCCTGTTTACGGCGCCGTCAAGACTACAATTAAGCTGCTCTTTAGTTAATATTTCTGGTTAAACACCGAAATCAAGACAAAAAATTTGACAAAAAAACTTTGTTTACATTTCCGGGGTAATCGGAAACGAAAGTGACGCTATACCTTGTCCCTTAAATTCTTGTATCGACCCTTTTTATAGTTGTGATCAATTTATATATTACTGTGTTATGGTAATAACTGACCATCGGTCATTCAGATAATAAATAGTTCAATTACATGCCCCTCTCTTCTTTTCACCGCCTTTGTGTTTTGGCATATTGCCTTCTGGGTACCCTTCTGATATGACTGGATTGTGTCGCGAGCAGCATTCTGTAACGTCTTTTTTCCTTGTTGATCTGTATTCTCATTTGATCAGGTAAACAACAAAATCATTTGCCCTTAAAATTTTATACTAGGTTTCGAAAACCAGGCAAGCCATTCAAACATTTTTGACATGAATTGTAACCAATCGTTTAAGAAAAGTGACCAGTAAATATAAAGATTGATGAAATGCTGCGAGACTTAACACAGTATATAGCTTTTTGATACAATTCGTAAATAATTTTAAAAAATGCTATAAACATTAAGAGCTAACAATTTAAGCTCTTCATTCACCATTTTAGTATCTTCTAAATGGAATTTTATTTAGTGTCCTTCTTGTGTTTTCTTCTGTACGGTAAGGATCTTACTTTTCCTCCTAGTTTTTTTTTATTTGTCACAGAATATGTTTTGTCTTTATTGCCTCGTACCATAAACTCCCACATTTCAGAAAACATAAATATCTCTTTTCAAGCGGTAGTTTTTGCGGCTAATGGTCTTTGAAATTTTACACATTTATTTTGTTTCATCAACGGTTGGCACATTATCATTCGAATCTGAGTCATTTTTCATCTTGTTAGAAGTAAGGGCTTCCGCAGCTGGGAATAATCTCACATCAATAATTTCCTTGTATATTATTGAGATACATTGCAATTCTAATCTTGTATGATACACGGTTTTTAATTCAAGAAGCTTGGCCACAAATCCAAATCGGCCAAAATGTCCAATGTAAAAAACGGACACAAGGACACGCAGCAGACATTTTTGCCTTTTAATGGTATTAGGAGAGGGGCGTCATTTTTATAACAAGTCGAAAAACGAAACAGAGACCAGATATTTAACATAAATAACAATTGATATTCTATGTTGATGTGTTTTTTTCTTTGTAATTAATTTAACTCTTAACTTATCAAAAGTACTCAGCGTCCGGAAATTCTATTATTGTCTCATAAGACATATTTTCTATGAAATAGTCCAGACATGCATCATATGAACCGCCTGAACTATGCCTATATGTCAATATAAAAAACTGCCGACAACATGCAAATCATAAGAGTTTCTGTCGTCACAGGTACCGCCAAGAGTTATTGTCGGTAAATATGTGATACCAGCATACAAAAACTTTGCCTTTAGGTAGACAGTTTTCAACTACGTTAAATTTACTCTTTTCTCTGTCCATGATTATCATATTCACATTTTTGTCCTTCAATTTTATTTTTTTCTAAAGTATTTGATTACAGTTTTGGATTTTCGTCTTAAGCGACATGTTTGCTATGGGTTAAATATAGGGTGCTTACATACTAGCGTAGAAATGTAGAAAACTAGAAATCGCAAGTCTGAAGTAGATACATTAGTTATAAAAAGTTATATAAAAAGAACAGCATTTTTCATGAAAATTCTAATTTCAAGGGGTGAAATTCTGATAATTGTGATGCTAGATCCTAGAGTTGAGAACTTTATCACACATGATGTGTTTGATATATTTCAAGTATAAAGTTAACACCTTAATTTTTTTTTTAAATATATAATGAAAAAGATTCAACAGCGTGAAAACTGTAATCAGAAATCTGAACGCAAATGCCGATGCTGGGTGAGTAGAAAAGCTCTCAATGTACTCCCTATAGTCAAGCTTTAAATAATGTGCATAATATCCATACTGCCATCTATCAATATTTCAAGTTTGATAGAAATATTGCCAGTACCTTTTGAGTTATCACAAATATTGTTATATATGTCATATTTTAAGCATATTTGTTGTCATAGCAACCAAATTGTTCGGCCTAGGAAGAAAAGAAAGACGTACATAATATCCAGGTCATCTATCAATATTTCAAGTTTAATAAAAATATTTTCAGTGCGCCTTTTCTTGTAACTGGATCCAAATTATGTGTTATATTCGCCATATTCTCAGTCTACGTGTCGCCATAGCAACCAAAGTTTACAACATGGAAGAAGGGGAAAAGATTTCCAGACTGCCATATATCTATATCTCAAGTTTCATAAAGATATTTTCAGTACGTTTTACTCTAATCATGGGATCCAGTTTTGTTGACGGTCGAACGGACAGACAGACGGCTGGAGAAAAGACCCCTCTGGGTACCGATAGGAGACTAATAGCATGTGTTCCTTTTTTATAATTATAAATCAAATCTGTAAATGAATAAAGTAAAGACAAATTTCAATCATTTGACCTTAAAGGTCTAGATAATATATATAGAATAAATCAACATGATATATAAGTCATATTTGTTCTTTTTTCCACGTATTAATAAAATCTGTATAACATTAACGTTAACAATTAATATAATAACTTAATCTTAGTTCTCAAGATTTGAAGTTGAAATATCAATTGATATTGTACTAAAATGGTCCGTTGAACCTTTGTAAAGAATGTCTCACGGATCAGATTTTAGTTTCTTAAGTTTTCTAGCTGTTCTACTACGTTTTGTACATAAGACTAGAAAGTTGATACAACCACTAAGTACAAAACAACCGCCAGCTGCCAAGAAACTTGATGTATAACTTCCAGTAGCATCAAACAACCAACCTATAATACAAGAATAACTTCCGCGTCATGCATGCGTAGTTTTCCTTAAACAAAAATAAATAATATCAGGTAGCATTTTACAATCACACAAAAATATAAAACAAAACTTCTGGGAACGACATATTTGCAATATATAAATTCATAAAACAGCCATAGTTTCCTGTTCGTGTTTCAAAATTCTTATTTTTCTGTAAGTCTCTCAAAGTAGTTCTTCTTTGTAGAAAAATACCTGTTTACAACGTGTATCCGTTTCTTAAAAACGTCGCAATAATCATGAAGCGGATAATGTTTCGTATATTGCTAAGAAAATAGTTTTTGGTTTATAATGATGACCTACCAGCATTTCTTTAAACTTTGGAAACACTCAAAAGTCACAAGGAGCAAGGTTAGATCTATAAGTTGGATGCCACTTGACATTAAGATTGATTTCCTGCAAGATGTTTGCTTATGAGCGCGCGTATTGGAATGGAGAAGGTGAAGGTCACGTGTGTCTGTGCGTGGTACTTAAGTACTAACTAAAGTACTGAACCATGCCTATATAACAAAACTAATAATAGAATTCTTCCAGTGTATATCTGGTATCAGTATCAATCAATTCTTCCATCTCTTTTTTCCGATGAAGCTAAGATTGAACGACCTGGTCTTTCATAGACTTCAACTGACCTGCGCTCTTATTTAAAGCAACGGACCCATTCTGCAACAACACCATATTGTAATACATTGTCTTCATAAACTTTCTGTAAACCTGCATGGATATTGGTTTCAGAATAGCACAGTATACCATTTGCTCTTACATAAAATCCGCCATGTTTTAACATGCTAAAATATGCAATAGCATAAGTTCAAATGATGAGTTTCTTTCGCATCCAGGAAAATGTCCTTCGGCACAGTAACAATTCTTATATATAGGTATACCAAAACATTTGAATTGTTACTTTAAGTTGTTTACGAATTTATGAAATGCATTACGTACATTCGCCTAGAAGTTCAAGCTACATTTGTAAGATTTTAACTGTTTATAATTGGTCATAGAAACTGCCAACAAAACTCCTTGTAGCTAAAATTAATACTGCAGAATAACTATCATTGATTGTAATCAATATACTTTCTTACAATATTTTTCTTGTAGTTGTTGAAACCAAACATGTTAAAACCAAATAGCACGTTAAAATATTACAGTCAATCAAAAGAAATCAACATTCACATGGAGTAATTTATGCATAAGTGGTAGGCCACAGAGAACAATTAACAGTTATACATTTGGATTATGTAGTTTGCCCGTGCCTATTTCAATTTTAGAGAGAAAGTGTTTGTCTATTTATTTATTTATCTATTTATTTATTTATAATTTATTTTTTATCTTAATTTTGTTGTTTATTGTTTTTGTTCATCAAACCTTAATACAATATATTTGTGACTTTGTCTATTTAGGCATAATGTACGTATTTAAGAGTTACCTGGTTTAAAGATATCCTATGTTCATATTTGAGTTAATAACTAAAAAATTTATTATACAGCAATTGGAATCTAGCTTAGGAAACCATTACTGAATAGGTGTAACTTGAATAAGAAACTGCACAAACTCTATTTGGGACGCTGCATTTTTGATTACAGGTCAAGATAATTTGGTCCTTTCTTAAAACAAATGCCAGTTTTAATGACACTATGTTTTCATTCTGTGTTTCCCTATGGCGTGGAATTTTTAAAATGTATCAAAATTTTCAAATACTAAATTTTACTAAACAATATTTTGAACAGTATATCTGGTATGTCTTCGTGTACTTGATGATTTATATCTTCAAATGAAGTGTTCATTGTAATTAGCTTAAATGTATCTGTTGAAGGGCGATTGTGATACAAAGTATTGCAGTCACTTTCGAGTCCGCTTCCTGAAACAAACCAGTATTGGTGTTACATAAGGATATGTATGTCACGAGAAACGCCTTATCCCCTTAACGCTGGGTAGACAGGCAGAACGTTTACCACGAGATTAACCCCACCCCTCTTGTTGTATGTAATAAAACACACTTACCAGCGGCGGGACTTCCAATTAATCCTGAAATACCGTACACCCACATGGTCAACCCTTGCATTGTCGCCATATACTTTTCATCTATATACTCCAATATTACAATTGGCTGCACCGTGTACATAGCTCCTGATGAAAATTTAAAATGTGATCTTACATTGTATGTGGTTTGAGAAACAAAAATCTTTTTTTTTTTAAAAACCTACAGTGAGAAATATTATTTACAGCAGTATAAAATACTATATAACCTATAAATATATAAACTAATGGAAGTCTAATTGCTTGCATTCAAAAGAAATAATCAAAAGCAGTGTGAATAACGCACCTGAAAGCATTCCATAAAGAACTGAATATGTAATGAGCGTCCAAAACATCGGGATTACAGCAACAATCATTGTAGTTACGCCGATTGATAAAAGACAGCCGCCTAGAAGACTCAGTTTATGAAGACATTTCATATCGGCTATGCATCCTACACCAGCTTGGGTAATTAATCCTGTAAATATGTCGATAAATCAGATTTAGTATGCAAAAGGAATTTAAACCTATAATTGTAGGTTTGTTTTGAAGTTAGTTTTAAGTTGTACTCAAATCTAATGTTACTAGGCAACCGTACAAAACAAGTCAAGCCATTTGACTCATAGACAGTAAGCTTGAAGAAAAATGAATTAATAAAAATATCTAGAAATCTATTTCGTTTAAAGGTAAGTATTTGAAAAATTTTCTGTCTACTAATTTTTTTGTAGCAATTGTAAGTTATTCTCCCCATCCGCTTTTGTGTATAATTAATATTTGCTGACACAATCTATTGATTCACCATCCAAAACCATATATATTTTTGTTGTTTAAATGTTTAAGGTCTTGCACTAATCAATCATTGTCACACGGAAAAGACCAACTTGCCTACAATACAAATTTATTGCATGAATGAAAATTCACTTTGTTTATTGAGACAGTCGCACTTTGAAAATGTCTGTGTCATATAAAAATTTATTTATCTACATAATTATATACATTTCGTTTATTATGACAAAACAGACAGCATAACGAAAACTAGCGTCAGTTTTCATGCTGCTTAAATTTGCGTTGTTGAAATAATTTGTACTTTCTTAATTTCGTCCAACGTAATAACCAAAGTTCTTGGTACAACAAAATGGTTTAATTTTTATAGTTACCTACCTCCCATACCAACTGCTGACAACATCCAGGTACTTTGTGCTGAACTACAGTTTACATTTAATGCAAAGTCTGGTAACATGCTGAATGGTACAAACTCTGGCAAAGCTATAAACACGATTGATAGCATAAGAATAATAAAATTACTATTTGTCACTAGCGTTTTTGGACAAAACTTTTCTATGAAAGCATTTCTAAACACGTCTTGTTCGCTAGTATCACCTTGCGGGGTCTTTAGATTAAGTTCTTTTGATTCTTCATTTTCTTTAAACATGTCTGTTTCATATCTTAATGGTCCTATCGTAACTTCTTTTGAAATATCCTGACCATAATCCTGAGCATAAGACGAATGTTGAGATTGTGACAAATCTAAACTTGTGATAACATTGTCCGTATTTAGTTCATAGGTTTTCATGACAGCCAAGGAAATAGTTTGTTTTTCTTTATTACCGACTTTATCATGCTCGTCAATTGTATTTGATATTTCTGTTATCACTGATTTCGTGTCATCTGTACCATTCTCTTTATTTGTCGCAGACTTTTGTTCAATTTCTTCTACAACTTCGAGTCCTGATTCATCGTCTATAAATGGTCTTAAAAACGATGCAAAAACACATCCATTTAAAGTAACACCAGCTAATATAAACACAGACCCTCGCCATCCAAATGTATCAATTATCAGTCTTGCGACAGGAATGAATGCAAATGTTCCTACACCTCCCCCGGAGAAACTAATCCCTACAGCAAATGTCCTCCTTTTTCTGAAATATTTCCCGGTAGCAACAAATCCGGACAGGAAAACCATTCCAAATCCAATACCTTGAAATTGATGATAATGTATAAAATAATGCATTATCTCGGACAATCAAGCTACGTAATGAAGTTATATTTAAATTATAACTATATGTCTCTTGATAAAATGCATATGAATTTTATTTAGCCATTAACAAGAGCAAACTGATACTTGTTAAATGTCCACTTAGGTAAAAAGTCTAAAAGCATAAAATTTGACATTCTTAAACAGATCAACGAAAGCAATAAAAATGGAGAAATCTTCAAATGGTAATAAAACATAAAATTCCGTATTAAATCGAATATAAATTTTAATGCAGTTCTTAGCCCGGTTTGACACATTTTGAGGTCAATTTGCACAAAAAAGATTATTCTGAAGAAATGGGATAAGGGTTAAGGGATTAAGGACAATGATTTGAAAATTTCTACACAATTACAAATCAAATGGTATTATTTCTAGGCCCGACATAACATTAAAAAACAACATAGAAGTAAAATGAAAAGCGGAAAAACAACTCTTTTTCAAAGTTAGTTCTGTGATGCTCTAGAATGTTTTAAGGCAGTGAAAATAAAAATTAACCTTGCAAAACACCATATGTCAAGTAGAGAAAATATAGATCAGTTGCTAAATAACTCAACAAGAAGCCGGCACATGTGATCAGAGAGCCAACAATAGCACTGGTGCGGTATCCAAACCTGTTTACTATATAAGCTGATATTGGACCTGGAAAAAATAAGCATTCTGTATCAAAATACAAGAGCATAATATACTAGTAATGTAAGTTTAACCTATTTTCGCAAAAAAATGGTATTAAAATATTAATTACGTGCAGCATTTTAAGCATAAAAAATTGTGGTATAAATAATGCCCCTTTAAATTTCAAAACGATTGTCTGTTAAACTTGATCACTACAACTGACTAAAACAGCATTGTCCGTTTCAATATGGTACACATGTGATGTGCCCTTCTATACTTATCATGTAATATATAACGATAGCTTATTATTTTTTAAATACACTTGTAATACATATGTACGATCTTTTGTGAAAAAAGCTGAGTGTGATATATGCTTCAGACAGCAAGCCCTAATTTCAAATCCATTCTCTCTAGTTTTAGAAGCAGTCAATTTCAGAATCAGGCATCTTCTGAGTCAGTAAACATTTAAGAAATAGTATTTACCTTGAAGATTGAACGCACACTGTGTTATGCTACCGACCCATGCTGTTTGACCTTTGCCTTTGTTGAATTCTTTCAGAAACTCAACGAAGAAAAGCCCATATGAGAAACGCACGCCAGCTTGGATGAAATTGAGACAAAACGTCGCAGCTACAATTACCCAAGCATAGCCACGATCTTGAACAGTCGGTTTTAGGCGTTTCTGTGTCATAGTGGTGACCAATCGTTTTAATTGCAAAAAGTCCAAAAGTCCAGAGTTGTTTAAAGAATTATGCTCATGATCATTTAAAGTTCTCTGAAATAGATTGACTTTTGCATGAAATACATTCAAATGTATTTTGTAAATGACCAATGCAATATAAAGACATTCAATAAATTATAGCTTAAAATGTAAGTAAAATGATACATGTATCAGAGACTCACGGTTATTGCATATCATGTGCTCTCTTTCTAATCTTGACTGCGTATAATGGAGATATTAAAGATTAAACCTTTTAAACAACATGTAAATTTGCACATGTTAATATTGATACCATAAAGTTAAAATAGCTTTGTAATTAAGAAGCGATACAATGTTATCGCTCGCATAAAAACTTGAAAGTAAAAAAATGCTTCTCTCGTTAATTACAATTACACAACAGCCATATTTGTCCGCTAGATTAGCTATTTCAATTAACGGTTTAGTCTAAATATTTACATGTACACAACTCGTACCTCAAGTCCCCTTCCATTATATTTCCTTTACTTGATAGACCTATTCATTACTCTTACTATATTTTTTTTTTACTTTTAGCTCTGAATAGACACTTTTGCCGTCCTCGTCTTTCTTCATTCATCATCAATAAAATGTTCTTCATGATATACTATTTCGAACATGTAATTTACCGCCAAATTTACAGTAATGAATTATATGTTAGGAAAAGACCTCTATAAGCATTGTATACTTTTGGATCTAATACTTTTTCAGCATTGTATATTATGTAACTAATGATTGTATGTAATAAATGTTTGTGTGAAAATGTTTGAAATAAAATATGTTTAAACTATTCATTACTCTTCTTCTTTAATTTCCTAATCGGTTTCTATTATTTCCTATTATGCATTATTAAAGTAGTCATCCCGTCCGTTCTTTGCTTTGTGCCCAGTCCTGGTTTGGATTGGTGTCCTCCTGGGTTCTTTGCGTGTGGTCCTGTGTTCATCGAACGCCTCCCTTTCTTGTTGATCTTGTTTTGTTATATTTTACCTACACTAACGCCTACCTACATTATCATGTATAACGTCGTTAATCTCAGATCATAATATACAATCTGTCGTCTCATTTGTATTGCCAATAATGTTAAAGTTGTCAAAAAATAAATCCGTTGTTCATCAAGTACAAATTTACTATCCAGCAATCGTTTACATTATATATGCAATGTCTTATAGATTCTTTTTTGTCTCGATGTTAATATACCATGACATTATTTACAGTACTGAATGTTTAAAAATTATTTTTATACATTAGGTGTTTTATCATTCAACCGTTAGTATTAAGTGTGATATATAACAATAAGTGACAGGCTGAAAATTCTTCAATTACCAGTCACAGTCCGGTTTATTTTTGATCATTCCTCGTACATAAGAATCAGGCAACTTTATATCCCTTAGGTATTTTGCAGTACGACATTGTGTAACCAAAATATGGCAAAGTACAAACGATTGCAATTTAAAAGCTGAAATATTACACTGGTATTTAGGCGAAGCATCGTCGTATACCCATTGTCGAACCGCCATGGGATTTTTGGCTGGTATCCAGTCGATTAAAGGGGTGTAACAGAGAAAATTGCGGCAACAAAAGCATAGAAATTTTACTGTACTTTATTTTTGCAACACTTTTTAAACATTTTTTGCGTTGTTGTTTCAATTGAAGACGTTTTATTATTCGGAACACACATCCCGATTGCCGTTACTGCAGCTAAAATGTGCGGGACATGACCCTTAAAAAATTGTCACAGAATATTTTTGTCTTGCTTGCCTCGTGCCATGAGCGCCATTTCAAATACCAGAATTATCCATTGTTAAGCGGTAGTTTTGATGGCTAATGATATTTCAAAACTAACATACAATATATGTATTTCTAATGTTTTTATCAACAGTTGGTTCATTATCATGTGAATCTTAATCATTATTCATCTTGTTAGAAGTAGACTTGAGCACTTGTTTCGCGTTTTATTAATTAAATCATTTTATCCAGGTGGCAAACGTTTTTTGTTCTGGATCTTGTGCAGCAAATCTGAAATTTTTACCTAGTGTACAATGCATCCGCAGCCGCGAATAATCTCACATAGATCATTCCCATGTACATTATTAACATACATGGCAATTCATTACTTGTCGTTTTTTTTAAATTTTCTTTGTGATAAATTTACCATTTCAATTTTGAATTCAGTCTCTCCACAACACTATTCGTTATGCTAGAATGGCGATTATTTAAGTTGTTTTATTCTGTGTAATCTAGTAATCTAGCTATTATTCTCTCATCAAAGTTGTCTGTGAAAAAGTTTTTAAAATGCTTCACTCCAATATTGATAGGTTCGTGGTTCAAGAATTTCAGTTGCAGGTGTATCTAATCTCGAGCATGCATATCATAGACTTTTTAACGTCAGTTCATGGTACCGCCGTATTTGTCCAAAAATTTAAATATACGACTCTAGAATAAAAAACTTTGCCTGTAGATAGACAGTTTTCAAATCCGTTAAATACACTCATTTCTTTGTCCATGATTATTATTTTCACAGTTTTTTCTGTCAATTTTGGAATTTCTCTTAAGCTTCAGTATCAAAAGTTTTGGAATTTCTTCTCATGCTACATGACTGATATGGTTTTGTTGTCTTTTCCATGAATAAAAGGGTGCTGACATACAAGCGATGTAGAACTTTAATTTGATACATGTAGTTGAAGATTATATACGAGATTTTATGATTAAAAACAGAATGTAGTTGTTCAAGTAATCTTTTCCGGTCATAACACTTTCAACTGCATTGAGGACCAGTGTATTGTAAAATAATTTTAGATTAATTAACTTACTGTTCTACATATGCCATTAAGACGAAGGTTTCTAAAGCAGCGTTTTTCTGCAAATATTCACGTGCTTTTATCCTGGTTTCTTTGTTTTTCACGTTCTCATTTCTCAGTTTTCCTAACATTAACATTGATTACTTTATTAAAAACGATAACTTTAAGGCAAAAATTGTGACAGTGGCAGAATCGGGGAAAGAGACAGCCATTACATCTCTAGTAAGGCGATTAGGATTGCTTGTTTTGTCAAAATGTTGTTACCATTTTTGAGTGATATACATTCAGCGTTTTGAAGAAATGAACATTTTCAAATAAAGCCTCTGAATATTTACTTGGAAATCTTTATTGATTATGACCTTAGCCGATTTGATCTTTCTATATCGCTATTTTCTAGTGTTAAAAATCTACAAAAGAGAGACGCGTTAATGGCAATAAAATCATAGGAATTCTTTTTATGCACATTTTGTAATCTGGTTTAATAGTATCTATGTCATCAAGAGATAAAACAGAATATTAAAAAATAAAACAGTACGACATAAAAGAAATCTGAAAAAAGGGTGGGCCTTCGGAGACAGTGAAAACAACAATATGAAAATTGCACACTCAATAAGTAAGAGTATGTTCACGAGAGATTATGTAAACAAAATCTCTCACGCGTCCCTAGCAACGGTTTTAGTGGTACTCAAGGGCTGCAATCAATGATCTTGATGGACCAGCAACATTTAAAATAAGCATATTTCCTAATGCCTATAAAACAAAAACATCAGTTGAACACAATCATCTGTATTTTTTTACTCAAAATTGAACAGACTTTATATAAAAATATATCAAAACAACGTATACACCTGTCATGTGATTGATGCAAAATAAAGATTTTCGAAAGGAGACAAAATTGAGAACACAAGACGGTTTATGAAGTGTGATACAACTGTCAACAATTAACATATGCATATTCAATTACTTAACCTTAGTTCTTTATACTTAAAGTTACAAATATCAATTGGTAATGTACTAAAATGGTTTAATGAACCTTTGTAAAGAATGTCATGATTTGAATGACTCAATAACACAACCGTATAAACACATTTTTAAAGCTATATCACAGTCGTATGAAAGATAAATTATGTCTTTACCAGATTGGAAAGGTGTCATACACAATAACCTTGACAAAACATCATTGTCGCTATGTAAATGCAGTCAAGATAATCGCCGAATCAAATTATGAAATATTTGACTAGTGTAAAGGAATCTTGATTTATTTTATGTCCTCATTCATTGCAGGTCATCTCATTGATATCTTGCTTTAATTTATTAAGTTTTCTTGCTGTTCTGCTACGTTTTGTACACAAGACTAGAAAGTTGATACAACCACTAAGTACAAAACAACCCCCTGCTGCCAAGAAACTTGATGTATAACTTCCAGTAGCGTCAAACAACCAACCTATAATACAAACAACTTCCGGTAGTATCATACGTGTATAGCTAGATATTCTTTAAAACATAAATAACATATCTAGTCGACAACCACAAAAAATATATAAATATGAGCTAACATAATTTTAATAGTATGTCTGGTAAAAAGATTCTAATTCAGTTTCTGCACCTGATGAATTATATGGTCAAATGAAGTGTTCATTTTAATTATTTTAAATATATCTATTGGAGCTCGATTGCGATACAAGTTATTGTAGTCACCTTCGAATCCTCCTCCTAAAACTAACCAGTATTGGTGTAAATTAAGGATATATATGTCGTGACAAGAGTAACGCCTTAGTCCCTTAACCCTGGGCAGACTAGCCGAATCAATGCCTGGATAGACATGCCGAACCTATCCATGGGTACACAGGCCGAGTCTTGGACATGATACTTACGCCCATTATCATTGTAATTAAACACACATACCAGCGGCGGGACTTCCAATTAATCCCGAAATACCGTACACCCACATGGTCAACCCTTGCATTGTCGCCATGTACTTTTCATCTATATACTCCAATATTACAATTGGCTGAACCGCGTACATAGCTCCTGGTGAGAATATAAAATTTCATAAAAACCGATATTCTTACATTGTATAATTTTTAAAGATATTTGTTACAAAATGCAAATATATCTTAATCTACAGAGAGAAATATTACTAAATTAAATATTACTTTCAGCAGCATAAAATACTACATGACCTATACATACATGTATATAACCTAATGGTAGTCTTATTGTTTGCATTCAAAAGAAATAACTAAACGCTGTGTAAATTATACGCACCGGAAAGCATTCCATAAAGAGCTGAATACGTAATGAGCGTCCAAAACATGGGGATTACAGCAACAATCATTGTAGTTACACCGATTGATAAAAGGCAACCGCCTAGAAGACTAAGATTATGAACACATTTCATATCAGCTATCCATCCGGCACCAGCTTGGCTTATTAATGCTGTAAATATGTGGACAAATTTGATTAAATATTGGAGATTGAAGAAATTAAACCTATCAATGAAAGTTTGTTTGAAATTAGCATTTATATTTAAAGTTGTACTCTTAATCGTATGTAACTAAGCAACGGTTCAAAATAAATCTAGACATTCTTGACTACAAATTAAAGAACAAAGACAATAAGCTTATATTGTTATAAAGAAAATGAATCATTAAAATATCTAGCAATCCATTTCATCTTAATGTAAGCATTTTTAAATCTTTCTCTCTCCTGAAGCTAACAAATGTTAAATGAGTTTCCCCATCCGCTTTTGTGTTTGATTAATATTTTACTTACACATACAATTGATGCAAAAAGCAAAACAACACATGCGTTTGTTGTTTAAATGTTTCAGGTCTTGCACTAATTGGTCATTGTCAAATGGTGACAACTCAGCTTGAATTTTTAGAAGTGCAGAGAGTGATGACCAATTTATCTACAATATTGCATGAATCCATGAAAATTCACATGCAAGACTAAACAAACATCTAGTTTTCTATGAAGTAGGTAACTTTGTACTACGACAGTTAGCAATCGCTCATCCCTTGAAAGTCCTTGACTAATACTTTGTTGTTAAGTGAGAAGGTTTTACTTTGAAAATGTTCGTTTCACATAAACTGTCTTGAAAATCGTTTATTGAAAGATATACTTTATGCTCCTATTTATAATTCAATAATTGATACACAGTCTCTTTGTAAATAAAAAACATAATGTCATTAAGAAAACTGGCAGTTAAAGAATGTACCAGCCTTTCTTGACCCGTAATAGAGAACGCAGCTTCTTTTTAAATTGTTAATTCATTCTTTTATTGAAACATGTTCAGTAAGAAATGTATAGATTTCATGAAATTTCTGTAATTAAACTAACTTTACTCAGGGATGAGCATAGAATATCTTTAACCATTTATTTATCTATTTATCTATCGATTATCTTGCCAAACCGTCAATCACCTTGCTCCTTTGCGTTGCTTTAAATAGTTTATTTGTCTCATTTGCGCCCATCATTTATAATATATTTCTTGTTACAACAAAACGGTTAAAAGTTACCTACCTCCTAAACCAACTGTCGACAACATCCATGCACTTTGTGCTGAACTACAGTTTACATTTAATGCAAAGTCCGGTAACATACTATATGGTACAAACTCTGGCAAGGCTATAAACACTGTTGACAGCATAAGAATAATAAAATTACTATTCGTCACTAGCCCTTTTGGACAAAACTTTTCTATGAAAGCAATTTTGAACCCGTCTTGTTCACCAGTATCACCATGCAAGATTTTTGGATTAAGTTCTTTATGTTCTTCATTCTCTTCCAAGGTGTCTGTTTCATGCGTTATTGGTGCTAGCGTATCTTCTTCGGAAAAATCATGATCCTCAACATAAGACGAATGATGAGATGGTGGTAATTCGAAACGTCTGTTTGCATTTTCCGTATTATCTTCATTAGGTTTCATGACAACCAAGGGAACAGTTTGTTCTTCTTTTTTACCAGCTTGACAATGCTCGTCAGATGTATTTGATACGTCTGCAAATACTGTTGTTGTGACATCTTTATTATTTTCTTTAATTGTCGCAGGCTTTCCGTCAGTTTCGTTTACAACTTCGAGTTCTGATTCATCACCTATAAATGGTCTTAAAAGCGATCCAAAGACACATCCATTCAAAGCAACACCAGCTAATATCAACATTGCCCCTCGCCATCTAAACGTGTCAATTATCAGTCTTGCGATAGGGAGGAATACCAATGTTCCTATACCTCCCCCAGAGAAACTAATCCCTACAGCAAGTGCCCTTCTCTTTTTGAAATATTTTCCAGTGGCAACAAATGAGGACAGGAAAACCATCCCAAATCCAATACCTTGAAAAGGATAAATATGTATAAAATGACTGATTTTCTAGGATCTGACCGCTACCTATGTTAAAATAATAGTTATATGTCTTTTGATGCATCTGTGATTTGTATAAATTTTAGTTTAACAGCCATTGACAAGAGCATACTGAATACTGCGCAGACATATTGAATTTAACTGAACTGGATTGTTAAAAGGGATCCACTGAGGTCAAACATTCTAACTGCATAAAATTTGAAATTCTTATATAGATCAAGTGAATAGCTTAAAATGGAAAAATCTGCAAAGGGTAATCAAAATATATAGCCATGAATTAATTGAATGTGCAATTCTTAGCCCGACTTAATGCTTTACTTTTTGTGCCATTTTAATAAAATGATTATTTTGAAGAAGAAAAGAACAACATGTGGGAATAATTTAAAATTATTTGTCCAATCCCACATCAAATGGAAGTCAAATATCGGAAAACTATTTTAGGCCCGTCATGTCGAAAAACCTCAGTGGAATCCCTTTATTTAAGCAATAAAAGAAGAGCGAAAAGCGGATTAGAAATTCGTAGTGAAAAGGTACTAGTCAGTAAAGATAAGAATGAAAATGATATGCTTATAAAGTAAAATGGTTATCTAAAAAATATATGTTGTATTTATTGCAATGATATAGATGTATTTTAAAATAATTTACCTTGCAAAACGCCATATGTAAAGTAGAGAAAATATAGATTAGGTGCTAAATAACTCAACAAGAAGCCAACACATGTGATCAAAGAGCCAAGAATAGTACTGAAGCGGTATCCAAACCTGTTTACTATATACGCTGATAATGGACCTGGAAAAATAAAGATTATGTACTAAAATACTTGTAAAGGCAAAATATTATGTAAGTTTAAGCTATTATTGGCAAATGTAAACAGTTGTCATAACGTATATCAAACAGCAATTTAAACATGGGAACATAACATGCTTATACCCAGTTTGCAATCCTGCAATATTTTAATTGATATAATCCTTGCAGCAGCTAGTTAATTTATATGTATACTGTTTAGATAATATACAAGGTCAATGGTATTAAATGAAATTCGATTCCTTTTAAGTATACAAATTATAGTATGTATCATGTCCTGTTAAGCTTCACAAAGATTTTTCGCAAAATGTATCATAACTTGTCTGCCTTAGTATGGTAAATAGATTTATGATGTACCCTGCTACACTTATCATGTAAAATATGACCGGATCTATGATCATACTTATGCACTGTCTTTGTCAGACTTACTCTTTACACAGCTAGCCTTGGTTTCAAATCCAAGTTTTGTCGGTTTAGAGGCCGACAAGTTCAAAATCAGACACCCACCCCCATTTTAACTTATACCGTAATAGTATTCAGAATATTTAAGCAATGGTGTTTACCTTGAAGGTTGAACGCAGACAGTGTTATGCTACCAACCCATGCGGTCTGACCTTTGCCTGTGTTAAATTCTTTCAGGAACTCTACGAAGAAAAGGCCATATGAGAAACGCACGCCATCTTGGATAAACTGGATACAGAACGACGCAGCTACAATTACCCAAGCATAGCCACGATCTTGAACAGTCGGTTTTAGGCGTTTTCGTGTCATAGTGATAACCAACCACTACAATTGTTAAGAATCCAAAAGTCCGGAATACTTCAAATGATTATATATGATTGTTGTGATTTATGGTACTCTGAAATAGATTGACAGTTGTATGACATACATTCAAATGGATTTGTAAAATAACCATTGCATATTTAAATATAAATACTTTAAATAAACTATATCTTAAAATGTAAGGAAAATGATCAATGCATCGAAAGACTCACGGTTATTGCATAAAGTTTTCTCCTTTTTATCTTGAATGCGTCGACATGTCAATGGTGATATTAAAGCTTAAAAATTAATAAACAGCATGTAAATTCGGACACGTTAATATTGAGATAGCTTTGTAAATAAGGAGCGATACAATTTCATCGCTTGAATATGATAACTTGAAAGATAAAATGCTTCACTCACGTTGGTTTTAGGAGGAATATATGACGGTGCAAGATAACCACTTTTGTTAATAATAAGTCCTTATAGCTCTATACAATTGTCCATCAACACATTCAGTGCAATATATCATCTATCTTAAAATTAACACAGTCTTTTTCAATACGTTTACATTTATAGCGTTTAAATACAATTAAAACCTGTAATTAATTTAAGGATATGTTAAATAAGGGAAATACAACTTTATTCCAGTCAGATATGAAATGTCCCTACCGGCATTCAATAGTCAGGTTAAATAGTTAAATTTATCTCTTTTTAAGTATCCATGTAACACAATTTAACTACACAGACGCCCCTTATCATTTTTAAGGTCGTTTATCTCAGAGCATAAATTCCCCGATGATCATACAAGAACGATATTACTATACTGCATTATCATATAAATATATAATTATACACTGTCATGTAAATTGCAATGTGTTTGAAGTTCATAAAATCAATGCAGGATGCTTACAAGTAACAGTTATCATGTTTCCGTTATAAAGAACAAAGTACAAGTTTAAATAATATACATAATAAGATGTTAAAGTATAAAACATACACCCATCTTCGTATATAGCTAATAATTCTCAGTATAACATTCATTCTATCTTCCCTTTATTAATAGATTAGTATAGTATTTCCATGATAATTGATTGTAAGGTTTAAAAATACAATATTAATAATTTAATCTCTAATAATTCAACCGTTAATCAGAATTATATAAGAATCCGGCAACTTAATATGCAGAACAATATTGTGCAACCAAGTCCGTGAAAGAAAAATCTTTATAAATACAAAAACATAGCATACATTGTTTTATTGATTTCAATACAGATATTACTGTACTAGTGTTTTACAATAAAAGGGAAGTAACTGTTGAAAAATAATTTTACTATATTTCCCCAGTGACAGGGATACACGTGGACAAAAGTATGAGGCGGTTAATGTACGTTAGCAGCAACAAATAACTAAACATGTAATAAAATACAAGCTTAAAATTTTGTTTAAACAAATTGGAACCATTTAATTCTATATCATAGCATATGTTTAACTTATTAAAAGAATTTATGACCAAAAGGCTTTCTTGAAAGACTAATTGTAGTCGCCCAAAGTGTTCTGATTGATATATGGCCAGGTTTAAAGGGTGACATATTACACTGGGCTTTATTAGTCGAGTGTTATAGCAAATATTTGTTTACACACGATTATATTACTTGACAACAACTTTAAAATGTTTCTTTGATTAAAATTGAAAATAGATAAAATATTTGGATGCAGTTATGATCGAGAGGTGATTGATAATTTCGTTTTTGTTTTAGTGCTTCTATCTGTAAAAGTGTGAGTCCAACTCAAAATTTTACAACCACACACAACTCAATGTCAACAGCTGACATGTCCAGTTTTGAAGAAATGCCATTAAAACGCTGTTTTCAAACAACTAGGGTCCTTCAAATTTATTTGAAAGACCCTGTTTGAAATAACGACTCCTCAAATTTTCAGCAAATAACGAAATTTCATACTAACGTTAGTTGCATAAGCACTAGTAGGCACTTGTATGTTAAATGAATTCAGAATACTTTCTATATGAGATAACAGTGTTTGTCAAGGTAACAAACAGTGGTTTCTATGGATACAATTTCTTCTTCTTCTTCTTCTTCTTCCAGTATACTGGCTGAAGTTTAGTGCCAGGTAAATGCGCAAGAATGGAAGAAAGAGTAGATAGTTAGAATTATTCTTCTACTAAACAACTATTCATCTACCTGATGATGAATCAGAAAACATGTTGTTCTTTCTTGTAAACGAGCGTTCTACCTTCTTCTCTTCTTCTTCCAATACTGTACATAACCCACTCTGGGGCATTAACGTACAGGGTTCAAATCATTTGATGAAGTAATCGATTCTTGAGAGGAGCATTCCGTGAATTTATCAATCAGTCCTCGTATATAAGTAGTACAGGTTAAAATTTACAATATTATCAAATAAAACCAGCGTTAACTTATAGCCTGACTTAAATGATGCAAGTTCATTAGTAGTATGCTCTCACAAACAGAAGGTAGAGAAAGTAGGCAGTGATATGCAGACGGTTTTGTAGATCTTTTAAGTAATCACCTTGCAATAAGTTAAGCACACCCCGGAAATATAAAATGGGGCTGTCATGAGATGACGACTTAATAGAGCTAAGAAATAGTAATTTAATACTTAGCGATACCACTTTAGTAATCATAAACCATTAAATTTATGAGTTTACTTTATTGTTAACTAAATTATTGAAGCATAAGCAAATGTGTTGTTTTTACCAGTAATGTCAGTGATTATAAGTATGGTGTACGTAACCTAAAATGACATTATTGAGCCAATTTTTAATAACGCGTGTACGCGCCACGTGCCTGGATGTTAGCCTCAACCCTTCTCCTCAAACCCGGCATTTTGCCTCAACATTGACATGACCACAACTGAAATTTTAAATTTTATTTGGACAATGGTACGAACCACCTGTTGTCAACCTGCAACAATGGGAACAAGCTCTGCACCAAGAATGGCAAAATTTATAGACGCTTTACTGGTAGTATAAGAAGGGAAGGGATTATCATCCGGGCACGTGGCGGTTGCACATGTTATCAAAAATTTGGCCACATGTCATTTTAGGCGTAATCGAAAACATTTACCATAAATACGTACAACGAGTGAATGTTTGTTAACGCTCCAACACCATAGTTATTATAAACACTTACGCTTGCTTATGCTTCAATAATTTGGTTAAGAATTGAATAAACTCATAAATTTACTGATCCATGATTACTAAATAGAAATCGCTACTTATCACATTACTATTTTTAGATTAATTAAGCCGTCATCATGACAGTGCTTTCAATAACAACCAATTTTAAAATTCTGGGGTGTGCTTAACTTATTTCCAGGTGTACAGTTTGTATGAAGAGAGAAACTAAATTAATATATACTACTCAAAATTTGCTAAGGATCACCTTTTTGACATTGCATATTTCAGTCATATTATCACTATATTAACATCATATTTCCGCTAACGATACACCTGTACTGGGACCTCATAATCGTGCACTTAAGTTATCGATTTGCACGATAAGCACGTGGAAAAGCATACCCATGAGATGGCACTGAGTTCATTCTTATGGATGACAACGCCCGTGCACACAGAGCCAACATCACAAACCGATATCTTGAGGAGGCAACTATAGTCCGCATGGATTGGCCAGCGAAATCCCCGGATTTAAATCCAATTGAGCAAGCTTGGAAGATGCTGTAGAAAGCCATTTCTTCACGCTACATCCAACCAACAACAGTTCAGGAGCTAAGACATGAAATCATAGAGAAATGGGCCCAGAATCCTCATCACAAGGTCCGCAGGCTCACCAGCAGCATGCGGCGGCAATGCCAGGCCGCAATTAATGCACCAGGACACCATTCTCGGTATTAAACACCCTACGCCAACAATTTCCTGATTTGAAAGCATTTTTATTCCATTATGTGATCTCCAAAATGTTGATTTTCATCCAGCACACTCTTTCAGCAACAGGCACACGTCAAGGAACACTTCCATTGTCATTATTTTCATAAAAATCAATTCCTAACTAATTATATTTAATTCCTTTTAATCAATTTTCACATTAATCACAAATACACAAAAGTAATGCACTGTAGAAAAAGTGATCCTTATCAAATTTTGAGTAGTATATAATGATAAAGTTCAATTGCTGACCTAAATACAATGTACTTCCCAATGATTTCTTTTTCATTTTTTTCAACCTGGTGTTTCAAGTGCATGTCTAGTTGCTGACACCACAGTGAAAATACAACCAGTGTAGTACCAGAATCGTATACATTTTTTTTACATATAGGGTAATCATATTGCTTTCATTGCACCCACTTTTATCAGTGTTGGCATTTAAAATTTAGAGGTTTTGTATCAGTTTGATGTCAGTGTGTTTCCAGCTTAATGTCCGAAAGGCAAGTATATACAGGCTAAATAAATGACAGATTCCTCCTCGACAAGAATAATGTGAAATAGCAGGTATGAGAAAATATTGCTTCAATTTAATGTCATAAAAAAGAAAGAAGACAATGTCAAAAATTATATTTTATTGCTTTTGTATATAAACAACACATTGATATGTATCTGAACCAGAGTGTATATATGTACACAAGCTATAATTTATATATATGTATGTCAACATCTAGTATCTATATGAGCCGCGTCACGACAAAACCAACATAGTGCGTTTGCGACCAGCATGGTTCCAGACCAGCCTGCGCATCCGCGCAGTCTGATCAGGATCCATGCTGTTCGCTTTCCAACCCTATTACAAGTAAAGAAACTGATAGCGAACAGCATGGATCCTGATCAGACTGCGCGGATGCGCAGGCTGGTCTGGATCCATGCTGGTCGCAAACCCATTATGTTCGTTTTGTCGTGACGCGGCTCATATTATTTTGCAGCATAGCAAAATAAGAAAAAAAAATTCTCTCAAAATTCCCCTTGACCTTCTTTATACTGTACTGTCACAAGAAATAAACAATAATGTGCACTTAATGTTTACAGTGGTTGAATGTGCAATTATTGTAATATAACATATCAAGGCAATAAAATCTCTAGCAAAATATAGTAAACATGCAATAACTTGCTGTTAAGTGTTAAACAGAATACATATTTTTTTATAATCGGACATTATTAATCATTTTATAGTCGTACAAAATATGACATAGATAAAACCAGCCTCATGTTTCAGATATTGGATGGACTCTTAGCTCACAATTGTAACAAAGACCTAAATACATGACATTTTCAAACAATAATTAAGTCAATGACTCCTTACCATTATAATTAATGAATATGCATGTCACAAAACTCCGCCCTTTTTCAATTTATAAACATCTGTGATGTACAATTTAATATAAAAGTTCTTTAATGGAATGCTTATTATATACATGAAGAAAATTCAGAAAAATAGCAAAACAAAGACACATGAAATATGTTTACATTATATATATCACAGGAATAATATGGAATGTTAGTATATATGGTATGTAAATAAAGATATTTAAAATATCTTAAATTTATCTTCAAAAGAATTTATAAAGTCTGGAATGTTTATTTCTGGAACTATGCAAATGCTGAATATAACTTCTTCTTAATTTCATAATGCATATTCATTTCAGCCACTATAAGGCTAAGCTATGGACTGCAAATAGCGAAGGTGGTTCAACTATCCAAGTATGTGTTTTACAACTGAAAATCTCACTTAATAAATACAGTAGCTACAATGACTCAGTTCCAAGACAACTAGGAAACAATACATAAATTTGTTAAAGATTTAATCATTTCTAATTCAATAGATGTCATTTTTGTTCGATAATAATAAAATGTCATGGTTTCATGTGTATCTGGAGTGACTCCCAGTCCAGAAAATATGTAATTTCATCATTTAAAGGAAAGTATGTAACACGTAACATATAAATGAAAGAAATGAAATTAATTTTCTCATTGCATGTTAAAGCAAGTCTCATCTGTTACCATGATAAATTGTTTTGCACTTGGTGTCACAGATTCTATTTAATAGAAGTTAAATTGTGAACATAGGTAGCTTACATTATTTTAAATGCAAAAAGGCCAGCTTTTCTTATTTGAGTACTAACTTTAGACAAACTATAATATGCATGCAAGATTCAAGTGTAGAAAGTTAACCATTACATTTTAGTTAATATAATAATATTATCGTAATTATAGTTATTTAAAACATTCAAATAAAAATATTTATTTTTGAATGTTACTATAATTCAAATGCATGAATGATGTTCAACTAAAACTAAACTAGAACTTCTATAATTATTCTTCAACATCACAGAAATCAAAATGAAATTTACATTTCTCATGAATATTAATAAGGCAAAAGCAAATAGGCATATTCAACAGCAGAAATAGCTCTTTCATTATCATTTTCAGTATTATTTTTAAATCAATAAAACAACTGAAAGTCTTTTGGAGGCAAAACTAATAAATTGAAACTGAATACTTTTACAACTTGATAATTAATATTCATAAATATTTTCCTAATTATCATCATGAATATTCATTTCACACATAAACACAGCAAAGAGTGCACATATTTGTAATAATTAAACAATTCATATAACTGGCACAACCAAAACAATCCATACAAATCATACAACCTTGGAATATTCATGTACATTAATAATACATATTATAACATAAAAAACACATAAAGATAAATACAAAACATAATAGGGTTATATTTTGTGGAATCTAAATAACTTTATATACAAAATATAAAATTCTCAAAATAAAGCGTGACATTTTAATGCAGTAATTTACCAGTACAAATAGTCAAGTAGAGGAAATATTTACATTTAAAGTCTACAGGTTTGTTGTATTTACAGGTTTGATCTATGCCACCTGAGTGACAAAAACAGGGAAAACCTTAATGGTAGGACAGTCTGCTCAGGCTCAATATAGTTGGTTTTTAACTTACAATCAAAAAAGACAGCAAATGCTCTTAATTCAAAGGAAGGTTAATTTATACAAATTTGGCAGGTTAAGGGCTTCAACATCAAGTTTTAATCTGTATACAGCTTTATTAGCTGTCAAAGAAAAACACAACCTACTTTTATTATTAAATCTGTTTGTATTATACCTGACAATCAATATGTGAATAATTGACTTGTTCTTGCTTTGAATATGAAAACTTTGATATTGTAAGTGTTACAAGTGTATTTTGATAACTTAAAGTAAGCAACCAATGGCATAGAATTTGGTCCGACAGCATGGAAGTTCAGGCTGGTCATGCCATAATTTAGTTAGTACTAGAGGTACATGTAAGTCAGTAGTACAAGTACTGTAGTACAAGTAAGTCACCATCACCGCTGTAATTTTGAATTATACATTTGAGTGCCTTATTCCACTTTTCATGGAATGGCATGAAAATGCCTCATTAAAGGTTGTATGATAACTGACATATGAACACATCTGTAGATATTTTTTAATTAAAAAAAAAAATCACCCTTTTCATGTTTAAATGTTGAATTCTGCTAAATCATGTGCTAGGGAATGTGAACGGTAGCTTGCAATTACCACTTCCATCTATGAACATTGCCCAAACAAACAGAGCCTGCAACATTTTCAATTTTAGCCTTGTTGAGCTTTCTTTCAGAATTCTGTTTCACATGATATGGTTACTGCATCCAAATGTCTCACATTATTTCCATTTCTCTGGTATTTCTAGGTATAAATAAATCTTTAAATAAAAACATGACGGAGACAAAAAAACAAGTTTATATAACTATGGAATATTATGTCTGTGTATGAGAGACAGAAAGATACATGTTCCCTAACCAACAACTTGGTAACCATGGTAACACAAATTATAATAATTGTATAAACAAATATATTGAAATGTATCATTATAATAACAAAATATGAGTTCCTCTAGGAATCCTAGCTACAGAACAATCTAGAAATCTTTTTTATTGAAAGAATTAAAATTCTTTAGGTCTACTTGTTTGTTATGTAATATTTATAGTGAAATTGTAGAAATTTCCAAGAAAACAGTCTCTAGTAACTAAATCTGGCACTTGTTAACTATACCAGCATGTAACAATGCTCCTATATCCAAACTATGTTATATTATTGTTCTACAGAACTTCTATAATACCAAAACAAAAAAAGAATAATACAATAAAAGTAAGTTCACAAAATAGATTCATTTCAAAATATGTATATGCAATGTGATTTTAGCTTATATACACATTAAACATATGTTGAACATAAACATAGCACATATGTGTTTTAGTGATGTTGGAATTTTAACAATAAATTGTCAAACTGGAATAACAAGCTTATGTAAATGAGGGATTTTAGCACAATGTACTTTATAAAGACCGTAAAAAAACGTGATAACAAAAAAACATCTCATAATGTGTTTTAATGACAGTCAATTTAAGCAAAATTCTATACATAAACAACAATGATGAATTGATAGTGATAAAGAATAATTTTGTACGCCAGTTAGATTTTTTTAAACAACAGTGTATGTATACCAAGCTTGTTTCATTGACAAAACATTTACTCACTATCTTAATTACATGCAAAATTATCAATTACATTACACTGATAATTATCACAACATTATTACTGGTTTAGGCCATGTTTTCTTGATATATTTTATCAAACTATCAAAACACACTACGCCTACAAAAATGCAATAAATTCATAACATTAATACTATCCTTATATTTTGATGCCTCATAACTGAACCCTTGTTTATGCAATAACATGAAGTGTGCCATTACATAAAATGTGCGTATGTCATTAGTACTTGTATATGTGAACAAGAACCATTAAAAAAGCACAGTAAATTGTCACCTTAGTGCAATAACTAGTTAAGTCCTATTAAATGTAGACGGACTTAACCCGTTACTGCACTAAGGCGATGAGTTGTCCACATTTCAAATGGATCATTGCAGAATTAATGGTACAATGTTTGATTTAAGGACAGTTTTGTAAGATGGTGCTGTGGGTTGACACGAGTGCATGTTGAACACTAAATTTATTTACCTCAAACTGAACACAAAATGTGATCAGATGTATAAAATATGAACCATTATAACACCAGTAAAACATGTCAAAATGATTTCTTAAAATATAATTATTATAGAGTCTATAATTCTAGAGGGAACTATTAACTGCACTTTAAATATTATCATTATCACAACAGATATTATCATCTTTCTTTTAGTTAATTATAAATTAGTTGAATATCATTTCTGTTCTCTAAATGCATTGATATAAACTTCTAAAATGACTTGTATAGTACCCTATCAAAGAGGTTTTGAGTCTATCATACAAAGTCAGGGTCAACAATATTTATATATACAGTCTTTACAGAGTTATCTATTTTGAAATAGTAGTTGTCCTTATCTTCTAATAATTATCCTTTGCTTATAACAATACAGTTATCCTTTGCTTATAACAGAGTTATCTTTTTGTTCTAACACAGTTATGTTTTCCTTGTAACAAAGTGTTTTTAGAGATAAACAGAGTTATCCTTTTTTGTTATGTAAGAGTTATCTTTATGTTATGACAAAGTTATCTTTTTGATGTGCGCTGTTTATTCATGTTTGTCAACATGAGGCTGATGTATGAGGTCAATAGGTCATCCATCTTGTAACCCTGAAATAGAGAAATTGTCGCCAGTGAGAGAGATATTCTAAATAATAGTTATCTGCATGTAATAAGTTCGGAAAATGACATTTTATAAATACTTTAATTGTACCTTAAATTATGAGATGAATCACATTCTTTGTGAAGCTTCAAGTGAAAATAACAATGACTAGGTGAAATAATGACATTTACTTAGCGAAATAATGACATTGACCAAGTAATTTTCATTATTTCACACCAACCCTTATAAATCAAACTTAGGGTTAAATCTTGTAAGGGTGACCTCTCTTTAAACATAATGATAATGGAGAAACATTAATTTTTGCATAAGACATCGAGAAATATATTCAATGTAGAATATTAATGATATATTGATATTGTGAAGTTCAATGACAGCTCTAAAATTAAGTATTGAAGAAAAATACATAAAATACTAATCATGTATGGTACTTACCAATGATGTTTCACAGAGAAGTTTACTGCCCCTCAGTAGATTTCCTATTGTCATATGGAAGTATGTGTTACCACTGCTCCAGTTGGAGATCTTAGTAAATGGATGGGTAGCCAAGATATCCTAACAACATAAATAATATAGTACCATTAAAGTGTATAAAGCTAAATCTGGCGAAATTTATTATAAAATTTAAACAAGAGGGCCATGATGGCCCTGAGGTCGCTCACCTGTATATAGGCCCCCCCCAACCCCCCCCCCCCCCCAACGTTGCAGGGCCAATTTAACCCAAGGGCTTTTATTTGCACAAACTTGGTAGACACCCATAAGATGTTTCATGCTAAACATATAAGCTCTAGCTCATTGGGCTTTTTAAAAGAAGATTTTTTTAAAGTTTTTTACTATACACATATAGTTAAAAACAATGACACCCCTGGGGCCGGGCCAGGGCTTCTATTTGAACAAACTTTGTAGACACTTACTAGAAGATGTTTCATGCTTAATATCTAAACTCTAGCTATTTGGGTTTTTTCAAAGAAGATTTTAAGTTTTTGCTATACACATATAAAAAAAATCAATGACCTCCGGGGCGGGGCCAATTTTGACCCCAGGTCTTTTATTTGAACAAACTTTGTAGACACTCACTAAAAGATGTTTCATGCTTAATATCTTAACTCTAGCTATTTGGGTTTTTTCAAAGAAGATTTTTTAAGTTTTTGCTATACACATATAAGGAAAATCAATGACCCCCTGGGCGGTGCCAATTTTGACCCCAGGGCTTTTATTTGAACAAACTTGGTAGACACCTATGAGAACATGTTTGATGCTAAATATCTTAGCCATAGCTCTTTGAGTTCTTTAAAAGAAGATTTTTTAGGTTTTTACAATGTGCATAAAGGGAAAATCAATGACCCCCCGGGGCGGGGCCAATTTTGACCCCAGGGATTTTATTTAAACAAACTTGGTAGACACTTATTAGAATATGTTTCATGCTAAATATCTTAGCTCTAACTCTTTTGGTTCTTTAAAAGAAGATTTTTTAAGTTTTTACTATATGCATAAAGGGAAAATCAATGACCCCCTGGGTCGGGGCCAATTTTGACCCCAGGGCTTTTATTTGAACAAACTTGGTAGACACCTATTAGAACATGTTTGATGCTCAATATCTTAGCCATAGCTCTTTGAGTTCTTTAAAAGAAGATTTTTTAAGTTTTTACTATATGCATATAGGGAAAATCAATGACCCCCCGGGGCGGGGCCAATTTTGACCCCAGGGCTTTTATTTGAACAAACTTGGTAGACACCCATTAGAACATGTTTCATGCTAAATATCTTAGCTCTAGCTCTTTGGGTTCTTTAAAAGAAGATTTTTTAAGTTTTTACTATATGCATATAGGGAAAATCAATGACCCCCCGGGGCGGGGCCAATTTTGACCCCAGGGCTTTTATTTGAACAAACTTGGTAGACACCCATTAGAACATGTTTCATGCTAAATATCTTAGCTCTAGCTATTTGGGTTCTTTAAAAGAAGATTTTTTAAGTTTTTACTATATGCATATAGGGAAAATCAATGACCCCCCGGGGCGGGGCCAATTTTGACCCAAGGGCTTTTATTTGAACAAACTTGGTAGACACTCACTAGAAGATGTTTCATGCCAAATATCTAAGCTCTAGCTCTTATGGTTTTTAAAAGAAGATATTTAAAGTTTTTTCTTTCGGTTGCCATGGCAACCAGAGATCTGCATGGAATTAAATTCTTTGAACAATTTTTAAAGGTGACCACCAAAGGAACATTCCTGTGAAGTTTGGATGAAATTGGCTTAGTGGTTTATGAGGAGATGTCATTTAAAGTAAAAGTTTACGGACGGACGACGGACGGACGGACGGCGGACGAAAAGCGATCACAAAAGCTCACCCTGTCACTTTGTGACAGGTGAGCTAAAAACCAGTAAAATTATAATGTTTTTGCAGACATACCCATATGGATGTTTTGTGAAAGATTTGTAAATTGGAATGTCTATGTAACTTTTATACATGAATATTGTAAGTAAACAAAATAAAATATTCCGGAACAAAACGCTCAACTTCTAATTTGTTCTAATGTTTGGCAATTTTTTTTAAGGCATCATTTTCAACAAAATATGCAGACAAATTTCTTACATTCTTAGTATTTTGTAAACAATTTTATCTCAATATGAACACTAAATGTGCAATCCAAAAAACAGCATAAATATTTTTATATACTTTAACACAAATCCCCAAAGAAAACAGAATACTTTAAATATCATAATTCTGAATAAATTCAGAATTTGATCTTAACATTTTAACATTTAAATACCAATTAATACCCAATAAATATTGAAAAATCCATATTTTATCAGACAATTATATATAACATTATTTTTTTTTATAAATGTCATAATGACAAGTTTCTAGCAGTACTGGTTGGGACAGTCTTCAGTTGCCCTTCCATACATTATCTCGAGCTTAAGCAGTGTGCATATACCGGTAATGATAACAAAGGATAGGCTTTAGCTGCCCCTCCATATATTTTTGCCAGCTTGAAAAGTGTGCATTATAATGATTAAGAAGATACAAACCTTTGTCTGGGGATGGATGAGATTGACACCATTCTTATTAATGGCTATCAGCACATGTTCTGGGTAGTTTGGCTCTGTTGTTTGCTGTAAATATATACCATGTCATAAATGGTCACACACTGACTTATCAACTATTTAGTACATTCAACCAGCTTATATTTTCTGCACAAAAACAAGTGAATCTGATACAATGTTGTATTATCAGAAGCAAACATTCTTGTATCTATGACGGTGAAAAGTCAAATTTGCCAAAAGAAAATCTGTTAATTAATTCAGACACCAACAGATGTAACAACCAACCTTCCTTACCAAGCGACCTGAAGATTTTTATAGTATAAAAGAATTTTAGAGACTTTGAAATTTAACAATGTTTTAAACAAGTGTGGACACCGGTCCTAGTTGTGAATGAAAACATTCAATCTGTCAAATCACCAGAGTTCTTATGTGACATAAGACAACATATACTCACAGAAATGGGAAGAACAAATTAAAGCTTTATTCTAACTTGGCTTTATGCTGGAACATGACACATCCAAATCTAGTACAATTACAAAGTAACATCTTGCAAACAACAAACTGCTTTATAAGTTGAACATCTTTCAATAAGACCAACTTGTATGTATATGTTGCCCTTTACTTTCTTTACATACAGTATAATGATATGTCCTAATTCTATAGTTCAATACTGAAACTATAATTACCAAACAATAATGACATACCTTGACTTCAAAGAAAGCTGAACCAAAGGTTGGCCATTTATAGATGACTCTGAGGAATTCTATTTTAGCATCTTCTTGTGATAATGCTGCATCAGCATTGTATACACTGAGTATAGCCTGAAAATATCAATATTATATAAATAATTCATCAATATAGCATTGATTGATAAGAAATAATATTTTGTCAGTGTATTCTACAGTCAACATGTATACTGTTGTTTATCCAATACCTAATAATATGTCTTAATTTTGAAATATAAAATATGTGTTACTAAAACCCAGATTTCTCCTATGTCTATTCATGAACTACATCATTATAAAAATAAATTTCTAACGTTTTGAAAGCCTACAAGATAAGGTCATTCCAAAGTCAAGGTCAAATATAACATGAAGCTTTTGATTAGATGTATGTTGTATCCATTTATAAAGACTTTAACTTTTACTAAGAAGGTGTCTTGGCTAACATTAAATTGTCCACCATTGACAAACTGGTAAAATGACATTTTATTTTCTATAGTACAAAATTTTGTTAATTGTCACTTAGCATAATAATGCATTATTTTCTACACACTGTGTCTTGTGTCACTGAAATCAATGTGTGCCTAATGTCATGATGCTATAATTGAAATAAAATCTTAATATATCAACCTATTATTTTTGTAACCACAGAAAATGAGTTATTTTGATAAAACAGTATTAGCCTTCATGATTATATTCCTGTGCACTTGAACTTGAAACATGCATTATTCTTTAACACTATTTTGATATAAATTTTCTAACTGAGACAGATTTGTATGTGAAAATGTCAAACTTACCCTCTTCCAATCTTCTGGTGATTGAGTTTTAATCAGATCAGCTGGGACAAGCTCTCTTAATAAACGTCTGAAATATAAAATACAAATGTACGCTACTGTCTATATTAAAGTGATAGTTTTAGGCAATGTTTCAAAACATCTGGTATCAAAATATGAAAAGAATTCAACTATCATATCAATTTCTTTAAGTATTATATCATGAACATTCATAAAAGATTACAAATCAAGCAGTTTTAACTAAAAAAAATTACAGAGAAAGGGCAATTTAGGACACAGAAATGGATAATCCTTTAAAAGATCCATTTTCGTTATTTTCCTTGTTTACCTTCTTGTTTATTTTGTTTGTTTTCTATATTAATTTCTTTTATAATAGTTCGCTGTTTACTATAATTGCAGTTTAGCAATGATTACACTATTCCATATAAGAATTATGTTTGCCATGTAAGTAACAAACCTAAACACATACAATGTAAGTTATATTCATTTCATACAAAAAGTATCAAAAATTTTTTACTTACGAAATATTTTGTAGACCAGCCTTCTGTTCGCCAAACTTCACTCTGTAAATAAGAGCAGCAAGTCTAGAAGCTTCCTCCCTGCTACATTTATGGTAGCCACGTAACAGTTTAGGTAACTCTTGGTGAAAGTGGAAGATCAAATCAGCGTTCATGTCACGGCCGGGTACCAGATTAGTCCACAATTTCTTCATGAAGAAAACTTGGTACGTAAACTGTGGTGGGGCACCTGCATAATATTTCAATTTGTAATCTTCATTAAAAAGAATAAACACACTGGAGGAATTACTCATACTTCACCTAAATGACAGCATAAGACTCTATGATAATGAAAGCAGACAAGACATTATTGCTTTCTAAAGTGTAGGAAACAAAACTTAGCCAAGTGGTTAATGCATCAGACTCAGTAATCTTATGATCAACTGCCACATGGGTTCAAACCCCAGTCACGGGCAAGTGGTTGTTTCTTTGAGCAAGAAACTTTTCACTCACTGCTTAGTACTTGTTGGTTCCAAGAACGGATTCGAAAGTGTGTCTATAAGCTTATAGCTTCCTACACAATGAAACTAAAATAAATCCTGAGAAAAACAAAACTTCCCCAAAATAAAAATATTCTAATAAATAGAGGATATTGAATGAGTGTAAGTTCAATACTGAATTTATTGCACGAGTTGAATAATATTATATTATGCGAGCCTCTGGCGAGCATAATATCATTTTATTCAACGAGTGCAATAAATTCAGTAATGAACTTACACGAATTTAATATTCTATTTATAACATACCCAAAATAAAGACAGTTTTAAGTGAAAAAAGAGTCATTTTTCATTGACGCGCCTATAGTAAAACGCTAACATTTAGCGCGACTTTACGCTATGTTTGTATAACGCTAATGACGTCACGTCAAAATATATGCACGGCCGTGCAATACCATATTTACGGAGTCGCAAAATCGGCACGGGTATGTGATAAAAGTTAATCTGCACTCTATTGTTCAAATATCTTGGAAACATTTGTGTCAATATGGCTACTGGGTTATATTAATCTTCTAGTGAAAGATAATTGTAAGATAATGTTTTATATACTCACCATCTCTAGTTGGTCGCGCTTTTCGTATCCAGTCTATTAAATGTCGTACAAAATCAAAGAAGAAGTCCCCTTCTGGCACACTTATCACTGAAATGAATTAAATAATATATTTATTTACAAGTTACTTCTAAATGAAGGTTCATAATCATATATCTGAAGTAATTTTATGAAATTACAAAATATTTCTTAAATACATGAATAGTGTATTAGGCTAATTTGTTAGTAATATTTTTAACAACTTTTTGCATATTCAATACATGTAACAAAACTCAATTTAGAATTTGAAAATCAATCTTTTTTTTATCTTTTTTCTTTTTTGTCGAGGGGGGGGGGTGGAGGTTGGGGTTGTATTATAAGTCACACTGAATCTGTAATGGTAACACAGTAACTTGTCAGCTTTATTGAAGACTTGAGGTGCACTCCATGCATTAATTTCAGGCACAAAAAGGCACATGAGTAAAATCACTGACAAATATTAACAAAAACATGACATGCTATAATCAAATGTTTGACTCACTATAACTGTTGGCACACTAGAATATTTCAAATGATTAGATATATACATTAAATGACTACCTTTGTCAGCAATTTTCACAAATAAACTGAACCCTTCTGATGATTTCAAACGTAATTTGGTGGATATATTCAAACAGAAATCTTTAGCTCTGGTACTTGACTCTACCTCAAATGCCTGTGAAGGAAAGAAAAATAATTAAATTAATACATTGTACATAACTATAAAAATAAATAAAGCACAAGAATGACCAATCAATTTCAAGTATTTCTTTTAACATTGAAAAATTACTTTGACAGTTAATGTAAATTAGGAGTCAGGCAAATATTTAAACTGGTCAACACAAAGTGTCATGAATTTCAATCAAACTTATTTGTATCGAAATTTAGCACCCAACAATACAGAGTATAGTAACCATGAATTGATATATTTTGTTAAGTTTTTTTTTCTGAGTTTTTTTTTACACCTGGAATTTCAACACAATTTTAGTCTTATCTCTAGGGTTCACCTGCCTGGCTTACCAGTAATTATCAATTTCTCCACAAGTGACCAACTACAAATCCAAAATAATTTCTTAATCAGCGGTTGGAGTCAAATGACAATAAGACTCAATGTCTGCCATATACTGTCATGGAGGAATTAAGCCTTGCTCAAGGATCAAACCAGCAACCCTTGGTTTACTTTTCCAATGCTTTCCCTATTAAGCTAAGTGGTGGTGGTGGTAGTTTTCTTTACGGATCACGACAGTAAGCCACATTGATTTTTCAGAGCACAGTTCAACCACCGCATCATTCCTGGGCAGGCTGTCAAGCAGTTAACCAGTACTTGTTGCCTTCACTTTCGCAAGGAACTAAAACTTCTGTACATGCTAGAGCAGAGGTACAATGCAAATGACCATAGAAATGATTTCATGATAGATCACAACGAAAGTGACCAGCGCCGTCCGGGAATTGAACCCAGGTCACTCGATTCACAGTCCAACACTCTACCTATTGGGCATGGGGAAAATAGATATATATATCAGACTGGCTTGTCTCTTTACTGGTAGAACTACTGCTGCTATAATTAAAGGATTATCTTGGTTTAATTGTTATATATTTACCTCATCAGAATCATCAGGGAAGTAAACTTTGTGAAGAATCTGTGTGGTCTTGTGTTGTATAGCTTCAACCTCCACCTGGTGAGGGGGATACTTTCTTGTTCCATTTCTAAAAACACAAAATTCAAAGTAATTCATTCTGTGAGCCAGCATTACACAATTATAAAGAAGAAATAGTCTCAAATCTTATAGAATTAGAACTTTTATCTTCCAAACGATCATGTACAGTTAAACCTGTGTTAAAGATCACCCTGTAAATAAAGGCCACTCTCCCACAACCCTTCAATGATTATAAGGAATACAGTTACCATAAAATAACGACCACATGTTTATTAAAGACATATTTGGTTTCTACCTTAGAAGACCTTTGTTCAAAAGTTTGCACTAGATACTTATTTCCCTTGGTTTTAATACAACTCCTCATTTATTGAATTTAATTAAGTTAGATTTTCATAAATGTTGATAAAAATTCCAAGAAAAAATATATATAAGTTAAATCTTCTATACTAAAATATATTACTTACCGCAAAGTTTTCTGAAGTCTATGTATGCAGTCTTGGGCAATTGGATTTCTACTACGAGAGCGAAGGAACAAGGTGGCTTCTTTAAGCAGGTTTGTTGATGGGGCAAAACATCCGGTCACTAACCACATCAACTCCCACCCTCGTTCCTCACTTAATCTGTTTACATTTTATAAACAATTTAATATGTTTATAAACAATAATTAATCCAATGCATACATAAGAAAATGTAATTATATAGAGGATATTTGTTTGTTTTGCATGTAAGATTGAAATATAATTTCACTGAGTGAACACCAGATGCAATATTTTCACGAGTGGCGTAGCCACGAGTGAAAATATAATAGCTGGTGTTCACGAATGAAATATATTTCAATCTTATATGTAAAACAAATAAATTTTCTTTTTATTTTATGCTTTTTAAGTGATTTTAAGTAATTTTTTACTGATTTTGCCGCGTAACGTCGCGCATTCTCCTTTGTGACGTCATTATATCATGACGTCACATCATCAGTTTTGAAATCTAGTTCCGTTAAATTTCTCTAATTTTGTTAAATTTCTAACATGATGTATGATGACATTGACTTTCTTTTTCTAAAGAAGCAAACTTTACGTATGACGGCATTTATTGCTGCCTGTTATTCCATTTATTTATGATTTTCTGTTCATCCGCATTCAGATATAGTCCGGCTACAGTGAAAATTATATTTTATAAATTTCACTAGTGGTTTATCAGAATATAATCATCTGATATATTACAATAAAACACTGGAAAGCATGAAATAAATTTCTAGATTACTTTCTACTGCATAAAAATAAGGTTGCAAAGTCAATACTTTTCATATTATCAGAACATTAAAATGTTAAAAGTTTGATTGAAATGCTCTTGTATTAAGAGAAAAACACAATTCGGCCTAAACACAAATTAGACCTGTACATCAAATAAACTATCATAACTTGAAGAGGTGGGACTGTAAAATATAATTATTAAATATACATGAATACACAAAAACATGTTCCCCCATATGGTTTCTTTCCGGTGGCGAGGGTAAACAGATGCAAACACACACAAAAAACATGTTTTTGCTGTCAATATCACTTTGATTGAAAATAATTAGGTGTTTTTTTTTGAAAATTTGTATGCTATCTGCCGGCTTCAAAGAAGTGTCAATAAACTGACCTGTTCTTGTTGTCAGTCAACTGTCTAATGACCTGACAATATATCTCATCCTTCAACAGCTCCTGTAATATTACAAGTAAATATATTAGTACATAAAATACTGCATGTTTGTAACATCATTTTTTATTGGATAAGCCTGACGTTTATACAATCTATATACACAGCTGCAGCCGATTTTCATTTCTCCTATAATAAAGTAAATTTGCATTATTATGAATTAGTTAAAAAGATTTATGATTAACAGCTTGGGTTATATATACAAACAACCATTTATTCAAGGCCATATAACCTATATATAACCAATAATAGCTTTATAACTAATAATATCTAAAGGATCTTACATGAGTTTTCATATATAAATAATATAATTATTTGGGGTTGGAATTTACCATCACATACCTTAACCAAAACTTGTATACTTAATCACTTGACAAAATCATTAATAACTAAATGTAGCGCACATCGACAATGTGTCATGAAGTATTATTACAACCATAGTAAAGTAAGTAAAAAACATTCAATAAATCTCATCATCTTAAGTATTGCATGAAGAATGAATATTAAAATCTGCTTTTCAATCTCAGTTTTTGGTTATAAGAATGCATATTTCAGATCTTTGGTAAGCATATCACTTATTATGTTAACCTCATTGACTTCAATATACAATTATTAATTTTTATGCAAATTAAACAACAACCTTATACATCTTAAACCTAGCCTAACAAAGTTTGATTATAAAAGCCAGCGTGTGGCAAGATTAAACACTTTTAAGACAAGTTAATATAGTTATAATATATATAACTTACAGTTCTGAGTGGAGGTTCAAAGATCTGATCAGTAAGCTCGTTAGCGACACGTCCACGTCGTGACGGATGATCTCCCATATATTTTAGGATAGGTAAAACATTGTTAAGGTAAATCAATTATTGTTTGTGAATACAGAAATTACAAGTTTTACACCTTTATAAAATGATGTAGTATAAAATTTTCAATTTTATTTTGAAATAATAACTCCACTGCATCACCATTTTCAATAAACATTAAACTTTATTATACAATACTTTACCATTCAGATTTTTTAACACGGCTTTGTCTTTAATATAATGTCATACACATGTATGTTTGTGTGACCAAACTAAAAAAAAAAAGTTAGATGCTCAATTGCAGCTTAACCATTTACATGCCAAGTGTGTTATTCGGTTTTGATCTGCTTTGATTTGGAACAGACCATTCCAAGCCATTTTTAAAATGACCCAAAATCATTATATCATTATATATTCAATCATTTATTTCATAAAAAGGATATCTAGGAAGCACATGCAAGCCTCTTGGCTCACTTCTTCACGACCCAGTAATTTCTTTAACAATGGCTGTTTCAACAGTTCCTTTGAATATCTCCACAATTCATCTGGCTTACGTCGCCTGGCTGATGACAGTGTTTTTGTGAGTGTTCTCTTAGGTGGTGGTCTGAAATTATATAAATCAATTCTATGTGTAATATTACAGTACAATTATCAAACAAAGGCCACTTCTGAGGTTTGTCAAATTTCATCTCTTACCAGTGTTTGACAAAGATAACTGCCATAAAAAAATGGTAAAAAAGCAGAGTGGTGGTAGGTTTTTCCCCCCCCCCCCTAATTTGTTTAAGTAATTTTTCAGGTGTAAAATAGCGCAAAACATGATTGTATCCTGATAATAGATGCATTCATGGAAACTGTGACATTCTGTAAAAAAAAAACTTTTACTCAAGATCTAAATCATTTTCTTACAGTTGCAGCACAAATCATAACAAATGATGAAAGAACGATTATAAAGAAACAATAATTTAGTCATAACATGTCAATAACAGAACAGAAGAATTACCTGAAATGGTCCATGGCATATTCCTCTAGTGTGTATGGTTTCTCTCCAGTTTCTACTGTAACCTCTCCAGTATTTTGTACCAGCATTGATGGGTCTGACGACTGTATAAACAGTTGCTGTAAACAAGATTAATATAATATAGTATAAATAGAGAACATATACTCAACACAGGATTGTGTTCACTGACTTAATGAAAAACAATATTATAAGATTAATGAATTGAAAACAAATGGAGATGGTTCAAAGGCAATGAAAACAAGTTTAAATTCGGAAAACAATCAAGGACTGTTCATAAAAGAGGAAACATAAAATGCAATTTTTTTACTTTGTAAATAAAAAATTTCATATTCAGTCTAATGATTTACATTTTGAAATTATTTTTTTTTTTGTTGGGGTTTACGTTGCATAGCAACACATTATTAGAGTCATATGGCAACTTTCCAGTTTTATTTGTGGAGAAAGATCTCCAATGCCCCTCTGTGCACATTTGAAAATAATTCATCAAATTTTTACTTTAGATAGGAGATAACAGAGACATATTAAATATCCTCTTATAAAGTATAACATAAAATATAGGAAAGACTCTGACCAGTATTTCTGGGGGTGGTTTAGTGATGGTTGGCAGCACGTATACGCATTCAGCGGGGAAATCTCCCTTCCTCTGTGACCTGACACATTCTCCGACACACCAGCCGGAGTTCATCACAGTCTCACCATTCTGTTGCAGTAATACAATCAAATCTCCCTTCTGGAAGTTCAAGAATGTGTCACCTGAAAAAAGGAAAGGTTGAATTGTTATAATTTCAGTAATTTCAATTTTTTTTTTATTTCTTCACTTACTGTACTTTTTATTCATTTGTTGACTATGATGTTGATACTTTAACTGTATGTTATTATGTAAAAATAACAACTTCAGATTATATAAAGATACATTTGTGTCACATAGGCCATTTATATATAATATATATATTCAAGATTTATTTAAAATTCATTTTCAGATTTACACATATAAAACAAAATTGAAACATCTGACAACTGATATTTATAGTGATAAAACATTAAATTTTCACACAATTTAATGAAAAGTGTTGCTTTTGTACAAAATTTACTTCATTTTGCAAGTGAAAAAGCTAAATCATAAATAAGTATCAACTTTAATTTGTCTTCGTCATTTGAAACAGGAAAATACTCAACATTTTCCTCTTAATAAATACCTTTTATAAAATGTAAAAATAAAAACTGTCAAACTTTCTATAATTTTATACTATAAACTTACCAGGTGCATTGTAATCCTGTAGGGCTATCACATATTTGGAACGTTTCTTTAGACCTTCAAGGAAGGTGACAACAAGGTCACGGATATCTTCAGCATTGGGTGAAGTAAATGTGTACTCGTCACCTTTCACTGTAGCTAGAGTAAAACTCTGGCCATGCATCTTTCCTGTCCTATAAAAATAATATCAAATATTAATTACACATATTAGCAAATAATAGCTTACTTATTCAAAACATCCCAAAAGAAAGGAAATTTGACACAAAACCTCATTTTTGTTGCCGATATTACAAATGGGGAAAAAAAGCAAATCCATTTTGCCACTGAAGACAAAATAACAAAATCCAGACAGTATGTTCAAGGGAACTTGATGACAAATCAGTCTGAAAATTTGGTCAAAATCCTTTGAGATATATAGGAGTAGCATACATATACTCTCTTGGGCAAAATCACAGCTTCGTTTTGGCAAAATTATGAAATAACCCAAAAAAGTCATAAACATTAAGTGGTTTTATACCTGCTGCTTGAGACAGCTGTTATTTCAGGGAAAGATAACTCCAGCAGTACTTGTTCTTGATCGTCCACGACATACACACCGGTCCAGTTAACGGCTATTATGACATCATTCTTCGGTAGGCTCGGTCCGGCAAATTTATACGCTTCATAGAATCTTGAGAATAAAAGTGGCCATTTATATTTGGCATAACTAACAATGTCCTCTTTCACTTTAAGGCCCTTAATCCTATCATTGGCAAAGTAAGGGCCGTGTATTTTATTGTTGACTTGCTGCATCCAGTAGGTTAGAGCGTTAGGTTTGCCGAGGAGGCTGTCGGGAATGTACGAGGGGAGAAGACTCTGTAAACGTTCGGTACTCAAGTTGGAACCGTAGTCAATATAGTACTGTTGTGCTGCGATCATTGCTAAATCATCATCCTGTCAATAAATTATCAATAATTATTACTTGCTGGACAACACATTCAATCTTCTATAAAATTATGGATACAATGAATTTTTACTTTTGGAAAAAAAAATTTCATACAATTTTTTCTCATTGAAACTATTACCCTCAAACTGAAAATTTGATTACAGGTAATTGTTGTTACATACAAAGTTTAAATTAAACTTTAGCAACAGGAAATAGGTGACCTCATGTTTTTCACAACAATATAATAAATCACTGTGTATCTTTTCAATTTTATTTTAAACTAATCTTTGAACAAAAACAACAAGGACGATACCTTATCACATCTGTATTCACCAAACTTGATACCACGTACAACTTGTTGGTAAACTAGATTTGTTGCCGTGGAATCTTCACTCGGATCATGCCATGGAGCAAATATTTCCTTCCTGAAGAACAACCTCCATGGTGCGTTTCTTTCTTGAGCTCCTTGTTCCTTGGCATATTGTTCGCACTGAGATATGGCGTCCATTACATGATCACCTCCGCTACCCAGAGATGATACCTGTAATAATTAATGTTAACAATGATATGATTTTCTTGGTTAGGTTTAAACATATTTATTTATACTCCGTTGCAAAACAAGTTCTTGCAACTTATATTAATCACTTTCGAGTCCTCTTCCTGGAACCAACTTGTACTTGCGTCATATGAAGAAAAATGGTCGTTACCCGATCAGGGCTCGAACCCTTAATCTCCAGGTTGAGAGGCAGACACCTTAACAACTAGGCCACAGCTCCCCTTTTATGATTTTCTTAATATCTAAAATAAATTCCATACATAAATGTTTAAATTTCTAAAAAACAACTATGTTTATATTAATTTTCATTAAATTGAACTTGATTTTTGCAAACATTAAACCAGTCACTGGCTACATAGTGATACATAGTTATAAGACAAACTTTGGTGGGATTAGGGGTGTTGGGTTTTACATCACACTCGCACCATAAAGGTTATATCCTAACTCTCAGTAACATCTCATGTGCATAATTTCGGTCACTAACAGACACTGAGTAGAATCACTGAAATTCCTCAACTATATGTATAGTTTTCTCACATGTTTGTAAGTTTGGGTTTCATGTCACACCGACACAGTATAGGTCATATCGCGACGTCCAGTTTTACTGGTGGAGGAAGACCTCAAGTGCCCTTTCGTGTATTATTTCAGGCACGAACGAGCACCTGAGTAGTACCACCGACATTCCTAGTTTCTTCACATGAAAGTGTCCAAATTCCATGGCAAGATTCAAACCAACAGCGATGAGAAGAAATTGGTTTTAAGTCAACAATTTCATTCTATACATATTTAAATTTGCACTGTAAAATATCAAGATTATCCTCATATTTATCTAAACCATTAAAAACATACTTACAAGTAACTAAACACTAACCTTATCAAAAAGAGCAATGTATAATGAGAATCCAAACTGATCTTTGAGACCGATTTTCTCTGACAGTTGTTGACAGAGTTCTCTAGCTGTTGTTGCTGAGTCAGCGAGCAATGTTTTTGTGTTGCCATCCATAAATGTTATTGGAAGCATCAAAGGTCTCTTGGATTTGGTAGCCTGAAGTTCGAGCCATGATGGGGGCTGGTTACGGGTACCGTTGGCAAAGGTTCGTCGCAATCTCTCCTCACAATAAGGGGCATAACCTGGTGGTCCCTCACTTATGAAATTCCTTAGGTACTTGATAAACTAAAATCAAAATTGTATTTCATACTGTATGTCACAAACTTGATATCGATAACCGTCAGTTGAGAGTCCTCTTTTTGAAGTAATAAGTTGTTTGTTTCGTGTCTAATCAAAACAAGTTATCTAAAGACTAACTTCCTTAATTAAGAATATTTGGGGTTGTAGGTACAAACAAACTTTTACAGTAACAGCTTCGAAAAATAAACAAAACAGGTTGACTAATCTGTTGTGATGGGTAGTGCACCGTGAAGCTATAACATTAAAAGTTAGTTTGTACCTAGAAATTAGCTTGGAAAAACCCACTTTGTCCAATTCCAGATAACGCCTATTAACTACTAATCAAATTTTCTATATTATATCACAGCATTTGCTCAGATTTATAATAGCCATTACAAGCAGCCAGTAAGATATACCAATGTTCAAGGCCATTCCGGGTATGTTATCAAATTTGTATCAATATATATTATATTCTCTAACGGCGGTATAGTATTATACAGGTAAGATTTTGAGAAGGTTACATATTAAGAGTTCATAATAAACATACAACTTATTTACAATATGGCCTTCTATAATGTGTAACAGGCATACCTTATCGGAGGGTGCGAAGCATCCGACACATAAAGACAGTAAGATCCAGCCTCTAGCATGTGACGAGCGTGAAGGATTCTGGGTAAGCTGTTTGGCAATCTGACAATATATCTCGTCCCTGTTTAAACACAAAAATAAAATATATCTCTTTAACCTTTATTAACAAATCTATACATTAACATAGCTATAATGAGCTGGGAAAACATATGTGCAGATCTGATACAAATAATATTTCTTTTGAAATGTTTTTTCCAAATGTTAATGTCTGGGAAAGGGACTCTGTCATTTTAATAGTCAACAAAATTGTAAGAAACTGTGATTAAACAATATATACAAAAGCATACATTAGTTACTCTCATTTATACATTTAAACATGAATTCATAATCATTTTTGTTGTGATAAGTATCAATTAAGTTTAAATGAACTACCAAATAAGCATGAATATAAACAATTAGAAAACCTACCTTAAATCTGGTCGCAGGATACCGTGCCCGATTATAAAATGTAATTTTTCCAAGTTTGTAGTCGGCCTCTCTTCTAATAGAGCATTTTGACCCGATGGTGAGAAATAATCAGAATCAAGCTGATTCTTGAACTCTTCTGTAATCTTTGATTTCTTTTTCAGTGTCAAAGACACAAGCTTTTTACGCATGCTGCGTTTCCCGCTACCACGAATCATCGCGTTCGGCTCATTCTCGAGTTCCATATTCATACGCTGTGCTTCTTCTAGATCTTTCTTGTTGAATTTACGTCCCAGGGTCGAGTAGATTTTAGTCATTACTGGGGTTGTGTCCTGTAACACAGATTTTCACTTTAATATATTAAAGCTCAATTTTGAAATTTCTTTCCTTTTACAAATCATTGCCAACATCAAAATACCATAGTAATTTAATAAGTTCAACCATTTAGTTCAAATAAAATACCATAATGTTATAAAATCATGTCTTCTAAATACATGGAACACATCTTGAAAACAGGGAGAGGGAATGATCTGAAAATTTGCATACAAGTTATTGGTTTATGTAAACGGTTTACAACTCTTAGAAAAATATTTCGAAAGACATCATACCAAAAAAATCCCTTGGTGGAGTTCCTTTAAAAACTTAAAATGTTTTATTCAAAATTTAAAGATACATGCCTCCTGATGAGTCAAAATATTTCAATAAAATCAAACAACTAAAATTTTAGGAAATGTAAAAAGATTCAATATTCAAGTAATTTTAAAGGTTCTGTGCGATTAATGACTGATTTTTGAGTATTTACAACTATATTTCTACTGCATTACTAATGCAGTAAGGGCTATTTATGCATATTTTGACCACTTTTTAGTAATTTACGCGGGTTGTATGTGGCATTTAAAGTGTGTAAATTGTTTCCATTTGGTTACTTCACAATATCAAACATTCAGATACATTTTCAAAATTTCATGAAAAATAGCATGAATCTTGAGGTGTGCTTCTTTAAATTTCATATCCAACAAGACCTTAACCTTTATTAGTGAAATTGATCGCAATAAATCATTTTCTATACCCTAGTATCCTGTACTCCAGTATATATTTTCGGTTCCGGCAAATCTCCCATAAACCTCAGTATGGTGATCCATACAGCAAGGGCAGCCAGGTGATCACTCTCAGATTTCAACTGTAACAATGAAGTTCTGATCGGACGTCTAATGTACGTGTGTGTGGCGTTCCCTTGGAAAAACGTCGCTGCAAATTTGGAGAATTTGTACTCAGATATATCCTCCTCGTCTAATGGTAAAGGTATATGCATCTCGTCGGTGTCGTAACCGATCTCCGACATAATACGCTTCCTCTTTTCCTCAAGATCCTGTAAATGTATAACAACAAATCCATATTAAGTTTAAAGTTAAGATGACAGACTTATCATACTTTAAGCTTAAAAAAAAATCTGAATTCAAAATGAAACCTGTAAATTATGTTGCAAAATCAGTATTATGCAAGTCAATCTAAATCAAATTTTCTTCAATGAAACTAAAAAGGGATAAACATGTGTATATAAATCTGTGTACAGTAATTGTTAAATTATAACAAATTGTCATGCAAATATTCTAATGCATGTAAAGGTTTAATATTATGAAGGTGCAGGTTTTCTACAGCTATACTGCTTAACTTTTCAATAAGTTTAAAGAAAATTTTCTTAAACATTTGACAGATATAATCATATTATCATCTCATTTAGAGATAATTACGGTTCATCACCTTAGTGCAATAACAGGTTAACTCCTATTTAGAAGAACTTAACCCATTACTGCACTAAGGTGACATTGTAATTTAGGTTTAATATCCGACTATACTCACATCATAATGTATCATAATGTTAAAGTGTAACAATTGTCTGAAGCTGTAGAAAATTTGTTCTAAGAATCTGAGACAGATAATTTATATCACTCAGTCTCAATATCGCATGAAAGTACATTTTTTAAACAAGTATTTAAAACATATTTTCCCTTTTTTTAGAGGTAACAGTTTAAAAATAGTATCAAGTTCCCACTCTAAAATCATTTTGTTTTCCCTCTCTAAAACATAATGCCCCCTCTCTAATTACATGTAAATGATAAAAATTTAAAATATGACACATTACTAAGTAGTTTTCCCCTCTAAAATGGAACATATTATTCCCCTCTCTAAGACAAAATATTTCCTTCTTTATAATAAAAATTCTCCCCTCTTGAAATGTTTTTCAACTCTAAAAACAATTTTCCTCCTCTAAAACATATATTTTCACACTCTAAAACATGGATTTGCCTTCCTTAATTTCTGTTCGTTCAGCATGTAAATTCAATTATTTATAAGGAAATGCTTTACATGTTGAAACTTGGGAAAAAATATTAGAAAACATGCATTCCTTTTTTAATAAAATTATATTCCCCACAAAGCTTTTCCAATTGCAAGGATCTTGCCACGTAAACCAAGCCATATCAAGATCTGCACAATTCTGCCCCCAAACTTTTAACAGCAATTAGAACTTTTTAGCACTTTTAATCTCTCATCAATTCATCACTTAAACTCAATAATAAGTATCAAACATAAATGTTTTGCACAGCTTGATATAGAAATAGCTCAGGATCTTCTATATAAAACATTTTACCTGCAAATAAGCTTTTTAAATTATATCTCTTGATTTTTTATTTAAAACTAGAAATGTGTCCATAGGACACGGATGCCCCCACACGCCACTGTTCTGTCAATCTTATGACTCTAGGTCAAATATTTTTTGGACTACATGTGCCACAAGTTCAAAACTAAAAATCAACAAAGGGCCATAATTCTGTTAAATTTGGTCGCAGCAAAAAATTCCTTCCTTTACTACCATCTACACATTAAGGTTGTTCATCCCTGGAAGTTTAAGCAAAATCTGCCATCCGGTTTAAGAGGAGTTGCGTTCACAAAATTTCTACATAGTATATATAGTGAAAAAATCAACAAAGGGCCATAATTCTTTTAAATTTGGTCGCAGCAAAAATTCCTTCCTTTACTACCATCTACACATTAAGGTTGTTCATCCCTGGAAGTTTAAGCAAAATCTGCCATCCGGTTAAAGAGGAGTTGCGTTCACAAAATTTCTACATAGTATATAGTGAAAAAATCAACAAAGGGCCATAATTCTGTTAAATTTGGTCGCAGCAAAAATTCCTTCCTTTACTACCATCTACACATTAAGGTTGTTCATCCCTGGAAGTTTAAGCAAAATCTGCCATCCGGTTTAAGAGGAGTTGCGTTCACAAAATTTCTACATAGTATATAGTGAAAAAATCAACAAAGGGCCATAATTTTTTTAAATTTGGTCGCAGCAAAAATTCCTTCCTTTACTACCATCTACACATTAAGGTTGTTCATCCCTGGAAGTTTAAGCAAAATCTGCCATCTGGTTTAAGAGGAGTTGCGTTCACAAGATTTCGGGACGTACGGACAGACGGACGGACGGACGGACAGACGTACGGACACTCGGACGGACAAGTGCAACGCTATATGCTCCCACTCTGTGGGGGCATAACAATGCCAGCTACCAGTAAGCAAATGCTTTGAGTTCATTAACATTTGAAAGGAACACATGGATGAAAGCTTCTGTCATGGCATAATGCATTCGGTGTAACTCTGCAATTAACCGAAAAGTTAACTAGTATCATGTAATTATCTGTTCCATTAAATTTAAACACTTAACTTGTTCAGCACTGTAATAAGTTGATACAAAAACAACATATATTGCAGCTTATGTAATAACTAAAGTAATAATAAAATTAATTCTTAAAATTCTTAAATCTATAACCTAGACAGGTAGCTCAGTCAATACATGAAATAATAAAAAGGCCCTGGTGTGGGTCTGGCGATTCTTAACCTGCAACCTTAACCAAATGGTCATTCTTGGAGATTTAATGTACATAAAAGACCATAATATTATAAAAGATTTACATCTTACATTCTGCATGCATTTTGCGCATCAATATAAACAATGAGACATCTCTAAAAGCTCAATTTTTTTTTTTTTTTTTTTATAAAATTTTTTTGGGGGAATTTTTATACAGAAAATTATGTAGTGTTAAGCAAGGTAAAGTGGGGCTGAAGGAATTTCTTTACAGTTGTTAACAGCAACAAAATAAGGTATCAAAATCAAATTTAAAAAGAAAATTAATAACACACAAAAAAACTATTTCATTATATACATGTAACCATTTAACTAGTCTAAAATTATAAAACATAAAAAAAAATTAAAATGAAAATATAAAATAGCAAGTAAGTAATGCCTACAATATTGTAAATTTAATAATAAAGTTACCGGTGTATTTCTATTTAGTTTAAAAAAAGGATAATAAATACAGTGTAATTGACACTCGAAAATCAGTGTGAAAGGTTAGCAGTTGGCACTAGGAAAGGTTGGTAAGGCAATGCTAGGGTCAATTGCAGAGTAAGCCAAAAAAAATTTTTTTTAAAAATCTAAAAAAAAAAAAAAAAAAAAAAAAAAAACTGCCACTATCATGGCGTGAATACCCCCGCATACCACTTTGTCAGAATCAACAGTGGCCATTTAGAGCTCAAGGACAACCTCCCTGCCAAATCTGAGGTTACTAAGCCAGTGCATTGCTAAGTTATGTATTCTACATGCTTCAAATGTGAAAATGTCAAAATAAATACATTGCGGACAGGACATTCTTTAGCAATTGAGAAGAAAAGCTTTTTTTTGTCAAGGTCCCTGTGACCTTGACCTTTGACCCAGTGACTTCAAAATCAATAGGGGTCACCTTATAGTCATGATCAACATCCATACCAAATATGAAGACTGTGGGTCAAAGGAATCTTAAGTTAATGGGTGGACAAACTTTTTGAAGTCAAAGTCCCTATGACCTTGACCTTTGATCCAGTGACCTCAAAATCAAAAGGGGTCATCTACTAATCATGACTAACCTCCATGCCAAATATGAAGACTAAGGGTCAAAGGAATCTTAAGTTATTGGGCGGACAAGCTTTTTGAAGTCAAGGCCCCTGTGACCTTGACCTTTGACCTAGTGACCTCAAAATCAATAGGGGTCATCTACTAATCATGACTAACCTCCATGCCAAATATGAAGACTAAGGGTCAAAGGAATCTTAAGTTATTGGGCGGACAAGCTTTTTGAAGTCAAGGTCCCTGTGACCTTGACCTTTGACCTAGTGACCTCAAAATCAATAGGGGTCATCTACTAATCATGACTAACCTCCATGCCAAATATGAAGACTAAGGGTCAAAGGAATCTTAAGTTATTGGGCGGACAAGAAAAAACCGACGGCCGGACGGACGGACGGCCGGACGGACGGCCGGACGGACGGACAAGCTGATTCCAGTATACCCCCCTTACAACTTTGTTGTGCGGGGGTATAATTATGAAAGTCTAAAATAGGAGATTGTAAACTTCTATACATACTGCAAACAGAAAGTTATCCTGAAATCCATCTGACTGTAGACGATAAATATGATTATAGTAAAATATTCTGGCACTATTAAAAGTTTATTTAGCATCTACATGAAGTACATGTTAAGGTACTATATCCATCTAAACCTAACACAACTGTTCTGTCATCTGTGTGTAATATTGAGGAGATGTAGAGAAATCTATTTTGTAAAACAAGAAAACTTGTTCTTTACTCCATTTAATTGGCCTTTGAAGCCCCAACCATGTATGGGCTGTACACCACTTGTCTAATATATCAGTCAACTAATGGAGGTGTGGTAAGAAATAGTACAAAAGTGTGATACTAAGAATATGAAGGTAGGAGAAGAATCTGATGGACTAACAGGAACGATGGAAGGACAAACCCGCTCCATAAACAAGAGCTGTCTGTAAGACAGCACACGCAACTATTCTCAGTAATTGACAGTAAGAAAAGGGGCATTACACTCTTTAAAGGTAACTCAAGAGTTATGGCATCTAAGCCAATCTGCTTAGATAATCACAGAGAACATGTGTGTGAATTTTCAACCCATTCCTTTCCATTGTTTTGAAGATACCAACTTGAACAAAGCGTGAAGGCAACGTCAACTACTATAGCTCTCCCTACTCTTCCAAGAGTCAAGTTAAAAATTGCCAGAGAGCAATAAAATTTGCTGAATTTTGTAAGTACAAGATGGATATAGAACCTTAACACTTGTCACCTCAACACGTGACTTCTGTATGTAATCACATTATATATTATAAACAAGATATATACAATAGAATCACTCTTATATACATGATATATAGGGCAAAATATAGGGCAAAGAAGCACACTCAAGCATTATATCAAACCAATAGCACGCATATACACAGAAAACATATATTTGCCTATCTTTTAGAAAGAGCATTGTGACTGTTTTACACTGATTATTCAAAATGAACATTTATTTTGAAGCAAAGAATCTTCATTGCACAAGTCATTGGCTATTTAATATACTATCATTTTTTTTGTATTAAATTTCTAATTTAATTTATTTTGATGCTGATGTCATATAAAAAGTTGTGATGTCATATACAAAATTGTGATGTCACATGAAAATTTGTGATGTCACTCAGTAATAACAGCCATTATTGCTTAAAACACACATTGTCAAAAAATACTAACTAACCTTAACACTTTTTTCAATTCTTAGTTTTTTTTCAATAATATTACTTCTAAGAGGAGCAATTTTGATTCTATGTACATGTTTATATCATTATCTGCATAATTTTATATACCATCTTACTTCCCAAAAACTTAAGAAATTTCTTCCAAAGAAGCAAGATTCACAAAGCTAACTAAAGAAAAAACAAATTATTATAGGTTGAAAAAGAAAAATGCGTGCTATGTATTATAAACATCTGGCAAGAATGTGCTTATAAAATAAAAGCAAAACTAGAAATGTGTCCATAGGACACTGATGCCCCCACACGCCACTGTTCTGTCAATCTTATGACTCTAGGTCAAATATTTTTTGGACTACATGTGCCACAAGTTGAAAACTAAAAATCAATAAAGGGCCATAATTCTGTTAAATTTGGTCGCAGCAAAAATTCCTTCCTTTACTACCATCTACACATTAAGGTTGTTAATCCCTGGAAGTTTAAGCAAAATCTGCCATCCGGTTTAAGAGGAGTTGCATTCACAAAATTTCTACATAGTATATAATGAAAAAATCAACAAAGGGCCATAATTCTGTTAAATTTGGTCGCAGCAAAAATTCCTTCCTTTACTGCCATCTACACATTAAGGTTGTTCATCCCTGTAAGTTTAAGCAAAATCTGCCATCCGGTTTAAGAGGAGTTGCGTTCACAAAATTTCTACATAGTATATAGTGAAAAAATCAACAAAGGGCCATAATTCTGTTAAATTTGGTCGCAGCAAAAATTCCTTCCTTAACTGCCATCTACACATTAAGGTTGTTCATCCCTGGAAGTTTAAGCAAAATCTGCCATCCGGTTTAAGAGGAGTTGCGTTCACAAAATTACTACATAGTATATAGTGAAAAAATCAACAAAGGGCCATAATTCTGTTAAATTTGGTCGCAGCAAAAATTCCTTCCTTTACTACCATCTACACATTAAGGTTGTTCATCCCTGTAAGTTTAAGCAAAATCTGCCATCCGGTTTAAGAGGAGTTGCGTTCACAAAATTTCTACATAGTATATAATGAAAAAATCAACAAAGGGCCATAATTCTGTTAAATTTGGTCGCAGCGAAAATTCCTTCCTTTACTACCATCTACACATTAAGGTTGTTCATCCCTGTAAGTTTAAGCAAAATCTGCCATCCGGTTTAAGAGGAGTTGCGTTCACAAGATTTCGGGACGTACGGACTGACGGACGGACTGACTGACGGACGGACTGACGGACGGACGGACAAGTGCAACGCTATATGCTCCCACATTGTGGGGGCATAAAAACTCAAAGACTTTAGAACCTAGCAACTGTTGCCATAGAGAGTCAACGTAATCAAAAGCAATTTAACTAAAAGGCTCTTTCTCTAACACCCTTATGTAAGGGAGTTTTTGATTGGTCAGATTTGAGAGAAAATCCCAACACAAGCAGTTACCTTGCTATTCAGATCCTGGGCAAATTCAATATATAAATCAAATGATATAGTTTACAAACAAAAATACACATTTTGATACTACATTAAAAACACTTTCATTTTCAGAATCTTTTTTGAAATATATCTAATTTTAGCCCTATATATTATTCAAGAAATGACTTTAAATTCCTTGTGACAACTTTAAACATTTCTTTATTTTACTCATGACCTAATTTTGTGTTAAGTGCACTCTAGTTTAAGTAATACTTAAAAATATAAAATTGCATATATATATATCAGAGATATATATCTATAACAAATTAACTACAATAGCAACATGCCAGATTTCTCAATCCACTAACGTATAGATAATAACTATAATTTCCTGAGCGGCTCGTATAAACACACCCAAAGATACACCAGTCAAATTGCATAAAACTGTCAAACACACTAAACCATTCAAGTAATGTCAGACTGTATACCACTCATACACTGCAACATGTCAACACAAACAAAAATACTTACAGCGAATGCAGACGGCCCTTCACCACCATATCCCTCTTGTCCGTCCCCAATAAATCCAAATATATCATCCACCTGAAATAGTGACATACAATTAGGTACATGTAGCTTTGTTCAACATACACATTGAAAGATCTGCCACTATGACATAGTTTAATTTAGGTCCTTTAGTTTTAACCACATTTATTCAACATACACATTGAAACTCATGCCACTTAAATGTGTAAGCTTGCTGGAGAACTTTGTACGAAACATTACTGTACTGCAATCAACTTAATAGAGTTTTCCGCAGATTTCACAGAATAAGATGAATGAATACTAGTTTAAAACTTACAATTCACACAATAAAGATGCAAAATGACATACACTATATAATCATAAATAGACAAAATAAATATTATCATGAAAACAAAGCGCTCAGAAATGAAACTCAGAACATAACCAAGTAATATGCCTCTTAAAAAATATATATGTAAGAATAAAAGCAACAAAAAAGTCTGACCACTTGAGAATCGCTGACTGTCTCATTTCGTTTCCTCTCTGTGATTTCTATTTGTTCAACTTTCATCTTCGCCTGTTCTCGTTGCATCCTCTCTGTCTCGAATGCTTCACGTTCAATATCAGCAAGTCTTTCCTGAATAAAAATCATATAAACAATGTATTTATAAAACAAGATGATTGTTAGTCTTTTTTTGTTTTGCATTTATCTTAATTTTGACATGTTTTGGTCATATTCTGAAAGTTGAGCCATCTTAATTACTAACCAGTAATAACAAATTTATTAATGAGTTACCAACTTTTAATCCTACACCATTTCTTAATCAGCAGGGATAGACAAATCACCATTTGACTCAATGTCCAAGACAACTGTCACAGAGAAATTAAGCTTTGCCTTTGCCTTAGTTCAATCTAAGTCCAATGTTGTCACACAACTGTAACTAATACCTGCACTCCAGTTAACGCACTGTGCATGTATATGTATTCAAATCAACTCTTAGAAAGGTCCCCAAACTATAATCGTCCTATAGATGGGTAATGAATGTTATAACAAACCTGATGTAATCTCTCGGCTTCTTGTTTGGCCTTCTTCTCATTCATCTTCTTCCTTAGCTTTGTCTCCTCCTCTTGTCTGATCCTCTCTGCTTCCATACGTTTCTCATACTGTAATATAAAAATACCAGTAATATTATACAAACAACAGCATTTTTGGATTTTCTGGAATAGCATTTGTTAGGATCAGTATCCTTTATAGAAAACAAACTACTTCACCTTTTCTGTGTTATACAATTATTGCATCTCTATTGTTAGGTTTTAACTATTTTGTAGCTTTTTTAGGGTTCTTTTTCTTGCTTGAATTAATTTAATAAAACCATGGCAACAAATCAAGCTTTATCACTTAATGTCAAGACCCCAGATCAACTTTATAGCTTGATACTTAAATGGAAAGAATGACAAATGGATCCTTATAAAATATACATTAAAGAGCCAGGGAGTATTCATGCATTATTTCAAACAGGACTTGACACTGTTGTTAAAACAACTACACAGTACTTTAATACCAAATTGCAGGACAACTGAAGTTACTAGAATTTTTAATCAGATACAGTATGGCAAGGATGTCACTTGCAAATATTTTATAAGAATCAATAGATAAGTATCTATAACCTTAACCGTCACTTGACTGTCATAAAGAAACGGTAACGTACCTCAATCCTCAATCGTCGGAACTTCATCCTCTGTATAGCAGCTCTAATCTGTGCCTGTATTCTGATGATAGAGAACATTCTCTTCTGTGCCCACTGACGTACCAGGTGACCCCGACAATAACGCTGTAAGTTAATCACTAGACTACGCTGTGCGTTAAACTGAGCTGTGAGAACCCTTGACCTACATAAAGCTTGTAGTCTCATGTAACCTTGCCTCATCTGAAATATAATACACACAAAATTTATCACTTTATAAGGTTTGTAAGGGCGCAAAGATATTATTTGTGAGACAATTACTACAAAAGTTTAAAAAACAGTACATTCACATTATTTTCATATTATTACGCCACTCGTAAGAATACTGTTTTTCAAGCTCACTCGATGAAACAAAATTACATCTTACACACACACAAACAATCAAACAAACAAATATCCTCTATATCTTAAAGTCACTTTATGCATGAAAAACAGAAAAGTTCCCAAACAAATTATTTAGCTACTACTATTAATAACATGTTTACAGAGTGCCAAAATTCTATATCGAAATTTCACAATTATATTACAACCTCTTCAAAGCAACACCTTTTGCAAGACAAATATTTTGATTGTTGCTGAGAGGTGTTGCTCTGGAGAGGTTAAACTTTAAGAAAAATCTTCCTTAAGGAAGATCTGATACTGTTATTTCAAAAAGCTTATTGCTCTTCAAAGGGTCTCTCTGCAGAACTTGTACTGTTTTATCTATATGTCTTGTTTGTTTGTTTGTTACATTTTACGCCTTTTCCAAACAGTATTTCAGTCATATAGGAGGGTAGTTTCCTAACCATCATTCCTGGAGAGTTACACCAGTACCAGACTACCTTCCTATTGGCTTAACTACCAAAGCATCTCCTAGGGATCAAACCAACCCAGACAGGTAACTGGATTAGAAGTCATCGACTCTAACCTCGACCACAGAGGCGGTCTCATAGAAGCCATGTAAAAAGACATTATAATACTGCATGTTTGTAATGTCGCTTTTCATCATATAATCGTGATGTTAATATAGTTTTATATGTACACAGCTGCTGTCAATTCATGAAGAAATCTCACTTTTTTCTCTATAAAATGTAGTTTGCAGTATTATAAATTCGTTATAAATATTCCCGACAGGTTATTTGGCCATATATAAACAATTGTTTGTAATATATTTACAAACAACCATTTATATAGGCCCATATAACCTGTCAAAAATCTTTATAACTAATAATATAAATACAAAATCTTACAGCTAAGAATTTCTTCCTGGCAGCATACGCTCTCCATCTAGTTTGTATTGTGGTACAGCATCCAACCATCTTCAGGAACCTACGTCTCACCGCCCACATACGTATGCACTTCTGTATGATAGCAATCTTCTCCGTCAACCGTATCTCACGCTGCTGCTCTAAAAATGCGTCTTGTGCGTCCTGTAAATATGATAATTTCTTAACCATGTCACATGTCTGAGTGATACATGTTTATTTGATTATAGTCACCACCAGAAACCCATAGAGATAACTGACTGCCTGTTGCTTTACTTTTTTGAATATGAAAGATGTGCACATTCAAGAATAAATAACTGGTTCTGTCCCTTGCACTTAGATGTTTAGGACACAACAATTATAATTTCAGTTCTAAAAGTGACAGCTGAAAGATTCATCAGCCATGTAAGTTGGACAAACAGGCAATCAAATTCACCACCCTTGAATTTGCAAGCGCAATTTATATAAGCAATATTATTTCTATGGTATAATTCAAAATACACATTGATTTTTCCAAACATTATTCAAAGGAGAAACAATGTTTTCTAAAATAATTGCAAAACTTCAATGTCATAGAAAAAAAGAGAGAAGTTTTTCTTACCTTGAGGAAAACTTTTGTACGTCCCAACTGATAATCTAAACCAGCAAGGGCTTTCTGACAGATCTTCAGTGAAGCTGCCCTGCACTCCTCCTTGTGGGCGGGGCCAATACCGTCAGCAAGGATACGGTAACGATCAACAAAATCGTAGAAAGAATGTCTGATAGGATATCCGGCTCGACGGATACGGATTGTCTCCATCATACCAGAATACCTGAGCTGCTTACAACATAGCTCCCTGTCAAAATCCTGAATTACACAATAACCCATGAGGTAATTTGTATTAAAATATAGATATCTTGTACTATTTCTTATGCTTTATTCCTAATCAAAATAGCTAAAATTAATGATATTATATACACAAAATATCTTAAAATCCAGAACAACATTGAAGTTAAATGAAGCTAAAGAAATATGTACACATGTATAACATTGTAACAGTGAACACCTTGACTTATTTTTTATTTTGACATGAAATCTTAACAAACATTACAAATTTATTTAATTTTGAAAATTTGCATATTCAATGTTTTAAATTTCTTTCTTGTTTTTTTTCGGCCCTTAGGGTTAATTATGAACAGTGAACATTTTGTAACAGTGTGATATTATAGAAACCTGCACAGCTGTGCAGTCTGACAAAAGTCTTATTATTACATGCTCAATTTCAATATAAAGAACTTAAACCTGCATCTGTACAGTCCAAAATCTAAAGCTAGACAGTCCATCTTTAATATTTCGGTAATGTATCAAGGTAAATGAAATGAGTTTGTTTACCTGTGCTCTCTTGAACTCATTAGGTTTAATACACCTAACAAAGAAAGGTTGACAGGCATTCAATGTCTTCATTAGAGATTCCAGAGACTTCTTGAACTGGGCTCCTAATGTCGGGGCTCTTTTTCTTGTATCTGAACCCTGTAAAATATTTACAACAATCTTCATAACAATTTATAATACAGCAAAGTTAACATCCTTTATTAGAGAAAAAAACTTAATAAATTGACAGCAGCTAGTTTATATAAACATAATGATTATCCAATGAAAAGCGATGTTACAAACATACTGTGCTGCATTTCATAGGAAGTCCTACGTGTGAAAAAACAGTCTTAAGACCAAAACTGAGACAAATTTGTGTTTCAAGGAAAACATCTTAACTTATGACTACTATTTCATGGCTCTCTTAATTTCTGAATAGAAATACAGATGAGCAATAACATGTAGCGAATAGTATAGGGTCTGTCATTGTATTTAATAACTTTTCTAAGGAAAATGAATTTACTTATAGTCTACAGTCTTTGACTGAAGGTAAAAACATCTATTGAAATGGTCTTAAGTAAGTCCTAAAGTTGGTTTTATGTCCTAGGACTTAGGATACAAATGCAGCCCCAGAACTTTAATATTAAATAGAAAAACTTGACAAGACTTAATCATTTTACCATATGTATATCTTGTTTGAAGAGATCCAGTAAGAATGTATTCCCTGATGACTGTATAACTTGTAGTAAATCTCCAGAAAACGTATCTCTATTCTTCTCCAGAAATCCTGTAAACAAAAGACAAAATCTATACTAAGTGACAAAATTCAAGTGACAGGAATGGTGAGAAAACAAACTTGAAATGGCCAAATTTTCAAACAAAAATTATTCTTAATCACAGAAGTAGGAAAAATTTATTAATTGTGTATAAGGATAGCTTGACAGCAATCAATCAATGAAAACTAAATTGAAACTTAGATTTTTCTTAAAAACAACAATAATTAACAAGGTCACTTAATGTAGTGACTTTACACCATGTAAGACAATTAACTCATATTAAAAACCTCCATTTCATATTAAAGCCTTACTTTATGATGTAGGTATGAATTTTTAAGCAATCCAGGTTTCTCATTTATTTTAAGATATTAAAATGTTTATTTTCATACAATGAATATATACATAAATATAAATGAGATCAACTTTTAAGGGATGCCTTCTTTGAATGCCATCTTGATTTCATTTTTCATATCTGATTCTCACCAGATATAAAATCCATATTAATATATAAACTGTAAAATATAAGAGATTAAAGTTTACCTTTACTGTCATAGAAGACAACACCAGCAAAATGGTTGAGACCAAACACTCTGTTAATATCAGCCTTTGGTCGGAGATAGTTCTTGTTATTTTGATGGGTCTGATGTAGCTTGTCTAACATAGTCTGATCTGTACCCTGTAATATATATCATGTTTTAATCTCAGGTCATCATGTCTTATACAATAAAGTTTCTTAAATTTAAACTTAAAGTTGAATTTATACAAGCTAGCAGAGCTTGTATAAATCCTATAATTTTAATAACTATTTGGATGTCATTGGGAAATTATAATAATTATTCATGTTCATAATATGTGAATAAAGCTGAACATCTGATGGGGCTATCAAATTAGTTTTATTATTTAATCCAATGAACTAAGCTTTCATTTTTGGCTTTTCACTTGAAAGGTCTCTTATAACAGGACTGACTGTATCTGAGATTCTGAATACAACAAACTGTCATTTCAAACAACCAGCATGAACCAATCAAAGTTCATATTACATAATGTATAGATGACTTTCTATTCAATTATCCAATGAAAATTCATGTTACTCAATACTTTAAGTATTTACCCTGGGAAACTTGCTCTCCTCATCAACCAATGAGATGATGTTCATAGGTTTTAGACCAATGAGATCGAGGGCATCTTGGTTGTCAACAAACTCAATATGTTGCCAGTTGATACCTTCATTGTCATACTCCTCTTGTTCTAGCTTGAAGATATGCTGTACGAAAAACTGCTGCAGATTCTCGTTCGCATAGTTGATACACAGCTGTTCAAAACTGTAAACATTATAATAATATAATATATACATTAGTATAACAATGAAATTGCCATTGTATAATACTGAACACAAAAGCTTCAAATCATTTATCAGTTTATTCACAAACATTGAATAAATGTTAAAGACAGGCTTGAATTACAATGAATTGAATTCAACCCTCATGAATTTGGATTGATTTTATTTAGTCACCTTAACATTGTAAAGGTCAGACAGCCACATTTGATAATTTAAAGTAGCAGAACACTTTAGGTGGTCCTCTGTGTAGGAAGAAGCAGGCGACTGTGTAGAACCACCAACCTCCCTTATGCTAGTTGGATAACTTCTTAACATAATAGAATCAAAGGTCCTAAAATGCCGGGATTTGAACCCAGAATGTAAAGTGCCAAGCAATTGACTACAATGTCTTTAACTTACCTATTGATATCAAAACTTTCAAAGCCGAAGATATCTAGAACACCGATGGAGCTTCTGAAATGTTTGGGGTTTGTTTTTGGTTTAAAGATTGCCTTGTTGATCTTCTCTACAATCCATACAAACATTCTACCATAGATACCCTTCACAAACGCGTCCCTGACATCCATTGACTGGGCCACACCCATAGCACTGGTGACACTCTCCCCTCGTGTAACTATGGTCTTAGTTGTTAGAGAATCTATCAGATCCTGGGCTTGAACCTGCATGAAAAAATACATGAAGTTTTTATTTTCTGCTTTGTATGCAAATGACTATACTAAATCAACTTTCAAATTAAGATGCAGAAGAGTTACCTCCCTTGGCTCATATATTCTCTCATATACAATGTACTGAATTTCTCAGAAAAGAAACTGGATTTGATGAAAAAGAATATAAATTTTTGTTTCACTTAGTTTGAAAGCTCAAGTTATGGGGGGGGGGGGGGGGGGACATTGCATCTGAAACTGAAGTTTGAATATTTAGACTTGCATTTCAACACCTAACTGTTCCTAAATGTAAGGTATTTCTCTATAAGGTCAAAGTCCAGCTTTAATTATACATTAATTGTATTCTAAAAGGACTGTTTACCCTGAACCTGCTGAATTTCTTAAATGAACTAGTCCATCATCCATTTTTGGGAATACCAAGATGGAAATTTAGAAGTTGGTCAGCATACAGAATGTGCAAGATGGCCTGGCTCTATACTGGTGGCAAAGACTAATATCACTCATCTTTAGTGTCAACCTGGGTAGGGGTTAACATTTTATGACCATAATTGCAAAGATACAATGTCTATCTATTTAAAGGATTCACTTTTAGAAAGTCTAGTTCTGTTAAAAGAACTACCCATAAAACTGAGATTTCTATAGATTCGGTGATTTACGTATCTTAATAACTTCATGCAATTATGTGAGAAAATTATCCAAAATATGTCCTGCTTTTGAAAAAAAACTGATTTGATTTAATGTGTGCAACAGGAAACATAAGATTTGCTTTGAGAAAACTAATATAAAGAAAAGAAGTAGCTGATCAAATTTCAGTTCAATACCAAAATACAAATAGACAACAAAATAATGGAATTTTAGAACTGGTTTCGAAGGTGACAGTAATGTTCAGATATTTATATATATTATATTATTTAGCTAATACACAAACAGAATGTAAATCATTCAGTCAATATCAGATTAGAGTTCTCAGATAGATTTGCAAAACTAATGGTGGTAATAATAGTTCTACTATTAGTGACAGATTTACTAGTCAACAATTTGATAAAAGAAGGACAGTAATTACTTCTTAAATCATATGCCTTCTGGTTTTATGTGTTAACTTTTTAACAAATTTGACACCTGATTTGGAGCAATTTTTTGCACTGACATTATATACTTAATTGTGCTTTGAGTGTAACAAAATTTAGTCAGTTAACTAACTAAGGCATACAAATCAGTCAACTGGTATAATGCAACATATTTCTCACCTCAAAAAGAGCACACACTTTGTTGATGTGAGATATATCTGATATTTCACTGGCATCATCGATATTGTCCATTCTCTATGGCTGAAAAAACAATAAAAAGCTGAATAATTATATGTAATAGCTTTTTATTCTGTAAAATGAATTAGATGGTTGCCATAAATTGTTGGCAAATAAACAACACAAACCCACCAGTGTAAGAAAGGCCAAAGTAATGCCCCAATGTGAAGTTATGGTCGTATTTGACTGGCGCAAATGACCAACCATACCATTATATTGAGACTGCTATTACAGACAGCCGAGAATATCAGAATAACTAGACAATCAAAGCCTTGCAATAATACAGCTGAGATTATTAGACACATGTCAGGGGACATAACCCAGTATTACATTGCTATCTAACCTGTTTCAAAAGAAGCCAGTGGTGTCATGTTCGAGCGATTATCCTATTATTGAATTCCTAATTTATCTGATATATTGAGATAATTTTATCATTATATTCATTCATGAGATAATATTGAAAAAGAAAACCTTTAAAATACAAAAAACAAAACAAATGATTTTAAACAATCAGACTTACAATTGTAGTTCAAGTTTCCCAGATGTAATAATGATGCTAATATTTTCAGGAGTTCCCAGACTTCTTTATCTGAGAACATGAGCACCTTCATAGCTGATCTGATGTCAGCAAACTCTTTAGCATCATCTCTACCTTCACATTTAGTATCTCCACCCTAAATAATAGAATAAAAATTAACATTTTAATTGACTCAATTAAAATCATAAACAATAGATATAAAATATTCATGAACACCATGAATTCAACAAACTGTATTTTTTTTTCACAAGTAAAAACACTTGTCAAGTTGTCATAACATTTTAATAATAAAGTTAAAACCAATAAATTTCTCACTAACAAATTTCATAAACATTTATTCTATTATGTTTTTTAAGCAAATAGACTTACTCTGGAATTAAGAATATTTTTGACTTTCCCAGGAGAGTATATACCATCTTTTACAGTTATAATGTTGAAAATATAAGCACAACAGGTTGATAAATCAAGATTATCCCATTTTGATAATTATTTTTTTGGGATTGTCTCCCCCTCGAATTAATAATTCAGGTTTAATGTTAACTTTTGGTTAATTAGTTCAGTTTATTTTGCCCATTGAATTAAATATTTAGATTTACTTCCCCTTTAAGTAACTTAGGTTCACATTTAACACTTTGCTTTAATAAATATTATATGTAAACAGGACTATCATTCACCTGAGTGAGGTACCAGTATTGCTGGGCATTAGTGACGTCTAACTTCCTCTTCTCATCTTGGGTCATACCAGCTAACATACAGTAAAATATATGGTAGTTTCTCTCATCGTGAGCTTGGTGAACGATTCTCGACTTCTCCAGCAAGTACTGTAAGATCTTAGCGCCCTCTATTGATCCACGTTGATTGAAGTGAATATCTATATACTTGCCGAATCTACTAGAGTTGTCGTTCCTGATAGTTTTGGCATTACCAAAGGCTGGAATAATAATAAAATACAATGGTAACAGTCATTTCCTTACAGCTAATGGGTTTATATTAATTTTGTTATCGAAACGACATCTACCTGAGAGTGGATGGATTCTTGTTTGTTTTGTTTTTTAATTTGATAATTGTGGATACCGGTATGTGAAAACTGATCTCAAACATTGTGTCTAATGGTCATTTATCTCTCAACAGCTAGTTCAGAAATCATGTGGAATTAGTTGTTGATCACATGCACAGAAATTGGTAATTACTGGTTTAAGTTATCCAGTAAAGCGGGTTAGGTTTGATCCTCCGCTAATTATTACCAAATGTGTAAAAATTGGCATAAAAAACAAAAGAAAAACCAACAAACAAACAAAATTAGATGATTTTTACCTTCCATGATAGGATTAGCTTCTAGAATTTGTTGTTCTATCCAGGAATGCTGACCACTGATGGCCGCTAGAAACTGCAGGATAAGTTTTGTACTTTCTGTTTTACCCGCACCTGATTCTCCACTGAAAATACAAAATCAGTTTAAACATATTTATTTTAAGGTGGATTGAAAATTAGTTTTAACAGCTTGATGCTTATTTAAGCTATGTTAGAGTCTGCATGCTGGATCTATCTAGTACTGGTGTCAGCAGGAAACATGGACTGATCCAAGATAGACTTGAACCCATGATTCCCTTAGATGAGTGGCAGACATCTTAGTCACTATGCCATATCTCCCGTCAGTCTCTCTTATTTACCCACTTTAATTTTATTTTAGGAAAGTGGCATTATATCAAATAGAAGGATTATGAACATTATAGTAAGAGACCAAAAAAAAATACCATAACATTTAATTGATCATAATTTTATTGTATATATCACATTTAGTAACATCACACTTGAATGAACTGTACAATAAAACATCCAGGAATTAACTTCTTCCCATTTCACTACATGCAATTCAGACTTTTCAAGAAAAATATCATGTTTATAATACTAGAAAAGTTATATAAAATATTTTACAATCAAAATAAGAGGAAAATGGAGAAGTACAACACAAATGGCGCGACATGCTGAAAATAAGTACGAAAACAAATTGGGCGCAATTTAACTTGATATCAGGTACTGCAGCATTTATTTGTTTATGTTGTGTTAGAATCAAAATAATATATCCATTAATATATCGCTTGATAAAACCACTGTTTGTCATTTGGATGCGCATTATTATATCACTCGGGCAACCTCCTCGTGATATATTCCTCATAAATATATATAAAATCACTGTTTGGGATATATCATTTCTTGAATATTTTCTAGATGAGATGTAACATACCTGATGATAACACACTGATCATGCTGGTATCTCTGCATGTTATGGTACGAGTTGTCTGCTATAGCGAAGATATGAGGCTCCAACTCACCAATCTTCTTGTCCCGATACTCTGAGATATATTCTGGCGTATAAATCGGCAATACTTGGTAAGGGTTTACAGCTACCAGAATGGAACCAGTGTAGGTCTGTTGATATAAACATTTCTATTTAAGTATAATGGACTTTATGATGATATAAAAAAAGTACAAACAATTATTCCGACATATAGTCAATGACTCATCCTGAATCTAAATAAAATGTATATCTTACAGACTAAAATGAATGTTAATGATGCAGGTGTAACAGTTGCATTCAACCTATATTTATTATGACAATTGTCAATTCTCACCAAACACTGTCTGTTTTTTTAATAGTCATGCAGCGCCCAGACTAACACTTCTGTAAAACTTTGTACTAATCGATTTTCTATTAACTTTCTTTATAAAGTAAGCAGGAATAGACATTTATACTTTTATTTCTTAAAATTTTTATGCACAGTTTACAAATATAAAACTTTGCGTTAATTGTTTAAAATAGTAAAGGCCACGGAAAAACAAGACCTTGAAATAAAATTAAAGTTTTACAGCGGTGAATTCTCTTTTAATATTTGTCAAATGCCTTTTGAATATGTTACCTAGCTGTCATATATTGCTTATATAACTCTAGTATGATTTTTTACTTATACCACGATTGACACAGAGTTACATACGTATATTTTGTTATCAGCATATCTAAGAAACAAGTTGCGAAGTATCCCAGCCTCGTTGAGGTCACCAAGTAAGATCATGTCTTCTATGTGATTGACAGAAGTCGCGTTCATATGCCGAATCTGTTGTTTCCCATCTACCCAATGTTCCTTTCCATCGTCGTCAACTACCCGTATCCGGCCCGCCTCCGAGTACTGGACCTGCGCACCAATGGCAACGCTGAACTCGGTCTTTTGCTTTGGTTCGATCCACACATGGTCACCCTGAAACAAATACATATAATAGTAAATAATAGTAAATAATTGTAATATCTGTAGAAACAGTTCTTGCCTGAGCAGAAGCATCTTCTCTTGATAGCCCTATACCTTTGTAATATTTTTGAATAATCACTTATGCTGAATGGGTGGAAAAAGAAATTTAGAACATTGATCTTAATCATACTACATTTATATAACAGTACTTTTCTTTGAACTCGGATCTGTCCATCATAAACATAACTGATTTCTTAAATAACATGCCTAAACCTTGCACTCAGATGCAGGGCACGATGTTAGATGATGGGACTTGTCTTTGTGGCTTCTACCTGTTTATTTACCTTCAGAAATTACTGAATTTTTTCCCTCTCAAAAACAATCTTTATTATTGTAAATAAATTAATTTAGAAGAAATTATTTCTAACATTAAAGTTATTTCAAAGGAATTTATATAGGGGAAAAATGTAAACATATTAAATACAAGAAAAAACTTTAGTAAGTGCATTAATGTTTTCATGTAACAAATAGTTTTGGCGGATTTAAATAAAAGATTATGAAAACATGTCCTTGACATGATAAACTATACAGGATTAAAAACGAATAAAATTCTTATTTTCCAATTGTCAATCCTTTAAATTTGTTTATACTAAGATTAAAAAAAAATACAGTCATTAGAAATAATGGTGGTGGTAATTTTATACCCTCCAGATCAAGACTGTAAGCCACATGGAATTTACCAGAGCACAGTTCAGCCACCGCATTGTTTATGGGCAGGCTGTACTTAAGCTGCCTTCACTTTTGCAAGGAACTGATAACTTCTGTACATGCCAACTTCTAGACATGCCAGAGCAGAGGTACGGTGTGAATGACCTTAGCAAGGATTTCATGATCAATCAAAACGAAAGTGACTTGCATGCACTGTCTGAGAATCGAACCTGGGCCGTTTAATTAACGCTCTACCTATTTAGCCAATGTAACAGCATTCTCAGTAAAAATATAAATTATGTAATCTAAAGAAACATATCACATTTAACAAAATGTAAACAATGATACTATTTATAATGTTTATTATGTTAAACCCTTTAATGCTGAACCAAAGTTTTTTAAGCCCTTTTTGTCGATAGGCAGTCAAAACCATGATATATACTTTACTGGCCGACTTACTATTTAAAATTATGTTCATTTTGATATCCCAAAAACTGATCATGTACTGTTCCCAAAATGAAAGTTTGATCAGTCTTTTTAATTCTACAGGTTAAGGGCGTAATAAGACACCACCTTAAGGTAACTGATAATTGTTTACAATTTTGTATGTACTCTTATCTAATAGTCAATATTAAACAGTTATAATGTCTGACTATTTATTTCTTCTTTTATGTTAAATCATTTAACGAAATGTCTTGTCTGTCAATAAGTTAACAAGAGGTCATCTCCAGTCTAAAATCATTATAATTTAATGCAAAATATTTTAAAGTCTGAATAAATTTTACCTAGAGCTTTAAAAGATTTACTTAAGCTAATTTTGAATGGAATGTTACAATTATATAAAATAGGAACATGATAAAATAGTTTAGGGCAAATTTCGTCTGAGGTTTGAGGTGTTTAGCCATATTGTTAAATGTGGTCATTACATGCTGATAGTCATTTATAAGAGATTTGACCGGTAGTGACCCCAACCAAATAACTGATGAACCATGTAAATTAAATGGACTACTAGTCAGCAGGTTTGATTGTATTTGCGATACAGAATACACTTGGTAGACAAATATTGTCATTACTTGCTATAATTTGTTACTGACACATAGGGAGGATATAATAATATTATATTATATTTTGTTATATCATATATCATTGTGTTAAATCATTTACCTATCCTTAAAAATGTATTTGTAACAATAAATCAAGCAGTTAGATATTAAGAAGTCACAGTGAAATGCAAACAAACAAGTTATAAATAGTATATAATAACTTCTCCCTTTTACAGTCAACATAGAGACAAATTCTTTCAAACCTTAGACTAACTGTTCAAATAGCACTGCTTTTCAACCTGTATTGACCAGTACTTTAATTCAATTCTATTTTTACTGAATTTACTAATATATCTTGATAGTAAATAAAACTCTTTATTCAGTCCGAAAATATAGGATATTAACTAAACAAAAACCTTATTTAACATTATAGTCATATAGCCGAGCATTAAAGCATATGGAATGTAAAACCCATTGACTGATCCTTACACATTTTCTACCCACTTTATATCTTAAACAAGAGGTACTATTTTTACGGTCTGTATTGAAATAATAACAGTATACAATTGCATGAATGGGCGTAATACAAGTTATTATACAACAGTGAATTGGTATATATTAACATTTACAGACTAAGCTTACAAATATTTTATCTGGAATGTGTAACAAATTGTTTTAAGCCTTTTTTTATTGAGATTTTTGGTTGGTCTATTTATTATTATTATTTTTTTAACACTTTAAATGTCTTTACATTAATTTTGTACATGTGTTAGCAGTGATACATATTAGACTCTATGTCGTACAATTACCCACACTACACTGGACTTATTAATATTTCAACCTGGACAAAACCTCATTTCCGTTCTTTAAGAAAATTTCAAAGTAAATAATAACAGAATAGCAAACAGTGCTCTACCATAATCAGATGGCACAAGATGTCACAGGTGTGCCATCTGAACTTGTACTGCACTGGTTGCAATTTGGATTAGATTCTGCACCCACCAGCAGGCAGTGTTAAAATGCAATGCAGCATATTATATGCATGTATTATGCTCTCAATATACTGATATATGACTTTGAGCCTGAACACTTTTAAATTCACAATGGCCAGTTTGAAAATCAAAACAACAAATATGATTATTTATTTCATATCAAAATTTTACAAAAAGTAAAATTCAGTTTATGCTTTATACAGTGAAAAATAATCTTTTCTTTCATGTCAGACAGAAAGAAATTTCATCTTCAACATATTATACAGAGAAGCTATAAATCTGAGTTTTAATTTGCAACCATAAAAATCTTTATCAAGTGAAGTGGGTTATTCAAGGGAGATAACTCAGAAGAATGTATACTTTGTTGGGTGATTTTATCAAGACATTTAACTGGATATGCATGATATCTTCCTTTAAAGTATGAATCATAAAACGATTTTGGAACACTTGATTTAAAACTACACCTAACTCCCCCATGTGTGTTCATGTCATGGTAGTAAATCTGTAGCATGGTAGTAAATCTGTATCTGTAGGGAAAGTGTGATTAACACCTATATTACCAACCACAACACCAGGTTTATTTGTATTATCATAATGCTCAATATGTTAAATGGATGTGCCCATCTTTCAATCTAGACCAGTGCATCACTTTTTGGGAAAATTTCAAAACTAACATGTACAGAATGAATACTGAACAGTACAGATCAATCGTCGGGATACCCACGGCTGACTTAGTAACCATAAACATCCATTACATGTTATGTAACATGTTGATCAAACATGGGTATTCGATGATGGCTCAGACCATGATCAGATGGCATGGATGTGCGGCTGAAATTAGTCCACACTGCATGGTTACATGGGTATAGACTCACAGTTGCTGCCAGCAGGCTATATATATATATATATATAACGGCTACGATCAAAGATACACTATTCATGCATGTTAATTCATTACTCTTTGTTCATAATAAACAATTTATCTGACATAGCATCAATCGTCTGATATATGCTCCATTAAAGTCAATTAAAACTTCAGGACAAAAATGCACATTTGTGTCACAGCTGACTTATTTGTAACATAGTTTTCACCATCTGATCCTATTTATGCCAAAAATTATAAGGAATCAGCTGATTTGTTCACACACAGTGCATAACATTAGTATCAGAAAATGGTAAACTAAACAAAAATAGGTTTTCTTTTTATTTAATTTTGTTGCCCATTGTTCATTTTTCAGTTAAAAGCTTGCAATATTTTTATAGTTATGGGGCATTGATTTTTAAAATACATTTTAATGCAATAAGTTAATTTAAAGTTTAAAGATTGCGCTGTGATATTTTTACAGTACAAATTATTCCCATGAGAAAATGAACTTCAACTGTTCTTTACCTTGGGAAGTTTAAAATTATGACCAAAAACATTTTTATTTTTCAGTAAAATTGAACATTCTGAAATTAAATGGAGTGTTGGCTCACAGTGATTTAAATGGCTGTTACATTTTGTATATTATACTGTAACAAATTGTACATTCATTTAGAAAACCTTGAGCAAATCTGCAAGTCTGTGTGCAGTCAGGTGAAATTCTTAAGTCCATTATAAAATTTGCTGATCATTTTTACACCTGAAAACTATTATGGAAAATTCAGTCAGTGAAACATAAACACCTAATACCAGTAAGGGAAAAACTTCCTTTTTCAATTGTAATTTTTTTATAGTTAAAGATACATTGAGATTGTTTTTAAATGAGCAAAAACAACAATTATTGTATGTAATTACATCACCATGAAGAAAATTACATTGTAATTTGAACTTAGAAGTATTCAATAATTCTTGAAATTGAAGAAAAGTTTTAGTAATTTTTTGACTAGTTTCATATATTTTCTTCCCCAACATATTATAAATATCAGTTTCAAGATGCAATAACATTAGAATTAAAGGCAGATGTTTCATGGATATGGAAGATATATATTTATAATTTAGCAATTTTTTACGTAATCCAACCTGACCTGGTCGCATAAATACAAATCTTTTACAAGCTCATCAAAGTGGAACAACTTGATTGTTAAATTATGTCAAACTTGATGGTCCAATTGAATATTTAACACATAGACATTGTTAAACATCTAAGATGGCTATCTCTGAATACATCACAATATAATAACTCAAGAGAAGATACTTTAACAACTATCTATAGAAGAGTGAGATAACTGTAATTTTAAAGCACACCTTAAGATTTTTTTTTTAACTTTACACTGTAAAGCTTATTGA